CTAACGAGGTTGCTACCGCAGTTAGGGTTATCTAATACTTAACTTAGAAAGGGTTATATACCGATTACGCCGCTAAATTCTAGGAATACGCCTAACTTACGGATTAGGACGACGAAGCTCTTATAATAATGTATCGGCGAGGTCTTAAGGACAACGTTAAGGACGAGCTTATACGCGACGGTAGAAAAATAGATAATATAGGAACATTAGTTAAGGTTACGATCGATCTCGACGATAGGCTCTACGAACGAGCTTTAGAACGACGCTACGATTCTAAGACTTCTAGAAAAGCTAGTTATACTCCTAGATACGATAATAGACGAAACTATAGTACCTACGATAAACTAAAGAGGAACAACTACTATAGAGCGCAACTAATAGAGCTAGACGCTACCTAGAAGGGTCGAGTATTTAAAGGAAGAAAAGGCAAGAGTTTGCCTAAGAAAGTAGGAAGATTGACTTGCTATACGTATAGTAAGGAAGGCTATATAGTACGGAACTACCGCGCTAAGAATATAGTACGACGCGAACAGTTTAATATAATGTAACGAAAGGACTCGGACAGAGGAGGCTACTAAATAATAGTAGGGCTATACTCTACTAATAGTACGCCGAGGACCTACGTAGAGGTCGTAAAGAAAGAGCTACGACAAATCTATATAATAGCATAACGATAAGAACCCGTATATAGAACCCTTTACTAGAGATTCTGTTACGACGACTAATACTAAATTTATTATTCTGCTAAAATAGAAGCAGGATTCTTCCCTTAGATTAGGCGACTCGTACGAGAAGATACGAAATCCTAGTTAGAAGAAGAAACGATTAATAAATCTTGCTTAGATACCGACGATAAAGAAAACCGAGATCCGGAAGCTTTATTCCCTCCCGAAGAGGAGTTAGGAGCTATCCTAGAAGTACCGGAGTCCCCTTAGTAGGAGGAGGAATAGCAAGAAGATTTAGAAGGAAGTTTAGATACCGAGGAAGAAACTACGAATAAAGAAAGTAAAGACGAATTCGGGATTAACGACGATACGATCCTTATGTTTATAATAGATACACCTATAGTAGCGCGAATAATCGCCTTATATCTACTACGTAAATACGAGGAAATGTTTCTAAAGGTTAACGGATAACGGAAGGTCGATCCTATCTAATTTAATTATTTCTAGATAAGCTTATAGGCAAAATTCTAGAATTACCCCCGGATACCTATAGACTATACGTACTATAACTTTATTATAGAGCGAGTACCGATAGGAAGTATAATTACGCCCTACGGATACGTCCTACCTAACGAAAGGACGATTATTACTTAAGATATACGTTAGACGGTCTAGCGATTAAATTAGCAATACCGAAAGGCTATAGTAGCGTAGGGACGGGATATATATAACGACACCCTCGAAGAAAAATTATACGCCGAAGAAGCACGAACGGTAGGACTACGGATCCGTAGCTAGTTAGAATAACGTTAGGCTACTAATTAGTCGGGAAACGGACTAACTCTCTAGATTAGAGCGTTCTAAGAGAGTTCCTTAATACCGAAAGCGCTTAAGTATTAATAGCAGTCTTCCGTATAAAAGTTATTATTAACGGGTACTCGACGAGTATATTAATAGATTCCGGAGCGAGCGGGAACTTTGCCTCCGAATTATTCGTTAAAAGCCGAGGGATCGTAACCCGAAGTAGGAAAGAAGGAGCGTATAAACTTATAGTAGTAGATAGGTTACCGCTACCTAGTATAGAACGAGAAACGATACCGTTACTACTAGCTATCTAATAGTACTACGAGGAAATTGTCTTAGATGTTACTAATATAGCTAGTTATAATATTATATTAGGCATACCTTAGTTAAGAAAATATAACCTAGTTGTAGACTAGAGAAGAGGAGTACTTATATTTAAGGAATGCGACTATATAATCGGTATTCAACCTATATAGCGGCAGCGTTCGTAGGCAGATGAGATTAATAAACGCAGAGCGACTCGTAAGACGTTTGCGTCGATAGGAATTACGGAGGACCGTATTCAATCCGGATCGATACTACCGTTAGGTTAGGAGGGTTATAATAATAATTACGGGAAGGATAGAAGTTATACGCTATCGAAGAATAAAACTAGAATCTCGGACCTAAACATTCCTAAAGAGTATAGTAAGTAGAAGCGACTCTTTAAAGAGGAGAGAGGTAAGGCAGCCTTACCTAAACACTAACTATAGGATTATAAGATATACTTATAGCCTAGGAAAGAGCCTCTATAGGGACCCTTATACGCAATATCTAAGAAAGAGCTTAAAACCCTAGACAAGTAGCTAAAAGAGAAACTAGAAAAAGGCTAGATACGGAAGTCGATATCCTCGGCAGCCTTACTAGTAATGTTCGTTCCGAAAGCCGGATTAGACGAAGGACGGCTAGTAGTCGATTTTAGACGACTTAACGACATTATATTTAAGAATCGGTACCTACTACCGAACATCGAAGAAATGTAAGACCGATTAACTAGATTAGACTAGTATACGAAGATTGACCTACGCGATACGTTTTACGCAATACGTATAGTAGCTAGATACGAATAGATAACAGCATTCCGAATAAGATATAGGCTTTACGAATTCTTAGTTATGCCTATAGGACTTATAAATGCCCTAGCGTTATATTAAGACCTTATAAACGAAGTCCTCCGAGACCTTCTAGACATATACGTTATCGTATATATAGACGATATCTTAGTCTATACTAAGGGAGCTCTCGCGGACTATATACGAATAGTGTAGGACGTCTTTAAACGATTTACTTAAGTAGGATTTAAGACTATACCTAAGAAATGCGAATTCTATAAAAAGGAAGTTAAGTTCCTAGGATTTATTATTAGTACTATAGGAATTAGGATTGATCTAGAAAAAACTAAGTTAATATAGGAATAGCTAACGCCTATATGCGTTAAAGACGTACAATTATTCTTAGGATTAGCTAACTATAATAGGAAATTCATCGAGGGCTACTCTAAGACAGCGGCACCCCTTACGGAGCTTATAAAGAAAGACAAGAAATAGAACTAGAGCACGAAGGAAGACGAAGCGTTTAGGCAGCTAAAGAAGCAATGCGTTTCTGCGCTAACGCTACGATTATTCGATAGAAATAAGGCGGTCTAAATAGAAACAGACGCGTCGGATAGGGCTATAGGAGTATGCCTTATATAGGAGCATAACGGGAAACGATACCCGGTAGCCTATTACTCGAGAAAGATGTTACCCGCGGAATAGAACTACGATATCTATAATAAGGAGCTACTTACGATAGTTATATTACTATAATACTAGAGAGTATACGCGGAAGGAGTACTAAGTCTTACGATTCTTTCTAATTATAAGAATCTGACTTACTTTACTACGACTAAAGTACTAACCCGAAGGCAGGCCCGCTAGTCGGAGCTACTAGGATAGTATAAGTTCGAAATCCGCTATACCCTAGGACGCGAGAACGGACGAGCCGACGCACTAAGCCGCCGTAGCAACTATATAGAGGGTTACGAACTAGTATAGCAGCAGATATTAAAAGCAAACTAAGACGGAAGCCTTAGTACTAATACAAAAGAATTTAACTATACTATACGAGTTCTTTAGGATATAGAAGAACAGTTCCTAATCGAATATAGGAAATACTAAGTACCTAAGGAACGAGTTACGGAGTGTATACGACAATACTACGACGGACTAGAAAATAGACACCCTAGAGTTTCAAAAACAATAGAACTAGTTAAGCGAAGCTTCGGATTCCTATATATGCGACAACGAGTTCTAGAATATATTAAGAAATGTCTATAATGTTAGCGTAACAAGGCTAATAGACACGCTAAATATAGACATATCTAATTTAGGACGCTACTAGATAAACTATAGGACGAAGTTATAATAGACTTTATTACGAAACTACTAAAATCTACGGATCCAGTTATAGGATATAGCTACGACATAATACTTATTATAGTCGATAGGCTTACGAAATATATATACTTCATTCCTACTAACGAAGCAAGTATAGTAGAGCAACTCGGATACCTCGTACTAGATAGACTTGTACGATACTACGGATTCCTAAGGACCTATATTACGGATAGAGACAAGCTCTTTACGTCAAACTACTAGAAGACGCTTATAGCGACACTTAGAATTAAGCACAAGCTATTAACGGCATACTATCTATAGATAGACGGCTAAACGGAAATTAAGAATTAGGCCTTAGAGGTATACTTACGGCACTACGTCAATTACGTATAGAACAATTAGGCATCGCTATTGCCTATAGCACAACTTACACTAAACAATTAGTAATCTGAGACTACGAAAGAAACACTATTCTTCGCTAATTTTAGGAAATATCCGTAGCTATTCGGAGAATAGTATTTACAGTATCTATACGCGGATAAAGCGATAGTCGCTTTAGAAGACTTAAAGCAGGTATATAAACAATTGCAAAGGGCAATTACCGAGTCTTAAGAAAAGATTACGGGACCGTATAATAATAAACGAAAAATGGCACCTTAGCTAAAAAAGGGGGATAAGGTCTACCTCCTAATAAAGAATCTAAAAACCCGGAGATCGACTGGGAAACTAGACTACGTTAAAGTCGGGCTATTTTTGATTAATAAGCCTAAAGGACTAGTTAATTACCGACTTAAACTACCGGACGACGCAAAAATCTACCTAGTATTCTATATCTCTATACTAGAACCTATAGACGCCGAAACACCGTATTAAGAAACATTTCACTTCTAACCTAAGGAAGAAAATAAGTTTAAAGTCGAGAAAATCCTAGACTAGTGAAGGACGGAAACCAATACTACTACTACTACTTAGAGCAATAGTATAGGCTACCGAGGGTAATATAACCTATAGCAATATAGGCAGCTATATTTAGCAAGATAGGATAACGAGACTATCGCTTAGGCTAATAACTAGAGCCCTACAATATAGGCATTGTAGAAGTGTAATATAAACAATGTGCTGTACGAGGTTGATAATCTATCTACTCTATAGAAGGAGGCCTCTTATATAGGCTCAAAACTAGCCTATAGGTATAGGGCCGGTTACTAGCTAATGTCCCTCCCTTTCTTCGTCTCTAACTAGACACGCTTCACATTGCGCGCTTAAAACAAATATATATGCATCCTTAGCACTCTTAGCTAAGGCTATTTTCACAACTCCGCAATAATACCCCCGGGGTAGTATTAATCCTAGATACTATAATTATGCAAAAACGACTTCCTAAGCAATACTATATAGACCTACTATTGCTTTAACGCGCCGTAATCCTTACTAGCAATAACCTTATCTACTAGTCGGCTCTCGAAATCTCCTCCGTATACGTTAAAGCTATTAGTGCCGAAGTACTGTCCTTCGTAGAAAGCTTGATTAACGAGGAGGTTAGTAGCCTTTTCCGTCGTAGCTTTCTCCTAATCGTATAGATACTCCTTAAGTCCTTCGTTATTAAGCTAGAGGATCTGTTTAACTTCGTTCTAAATAACGTAACTTAACTAAGGAATCCTACTAACTAGGGCGTCGGAGATATAGCCGAGGCCTTCGACTAAGATAGCCGTAGGGAAAGCGAATAGTACGAAGGAGTTAGAGGCTAGGAGGGCGGTTAGATTGCGGTACGCTTTAGCAACCTAAGAGACTGTTAAGTTCTCGTAGCCCTCAACCTTAGTGCCGTTAATAACGCGAGAGTAGCCTAGGTTAATTAATATACGGTTGCTCTTAGTCTTTAGATTACTGTATAGTAGGTATAGTATCTAAATAGAGACCTCGCACTCCTTTAGAGAATTAAGGATCTACTCCGCTTTACGCCCCTTACTATTAGGCTAACTATCGAATATATAGTCGAGGTCGTCGTCGGTAAGGTACTTATTAGTAAGCTTGCCGATCTTGCTTAGTAGGACTAGGCTACGAGCCTTAAGCTTCTTAACCTAGTTCGCAAAGACCTCGGGCTAATATATACCTTCGACAATAGTAGAGCAGCTAGTCTTATCCTTAGATATAAGGCAGACCTTAATACGTAGGTAACTAGCACCCTCGCTAGCTACGAGCTTAACTATATCTTGTCCGAGACGAGTAGACTCCTTAGAAGGGCAGTTTTTATAAGTACCGCCAACCTTAAAGAACTTAGCAGGCTTAGGGACAGAGATAAGCTCGTATACGTAATTAGGTCGAAGGGCGATAGCTAAGAGCTATAGGGTAGGGTGCTAGCGGACGATTTAGTTACTTATACTATAAGTTTAAAGGGCATTACGGCCTTCCTACTTAGACTTAGGCATCGCACGTATATACTAAAGGTATATTTCAAACTCCTCCTATATTAGGTCGATAAGGAAAGGAAGATATACTCTACGAGGCTCTTGCAACTAACTAAAGACTTAAGGGAAGATAGCATTGCTAGTCTAGCGAAAGCGGTCGAAGGAGGTGCCTTAGCTAAGGATACCGGTAACGAACTTGCTCTAGCGATTTGTTAGCGTAAGGGCGCGAGTAATAGTACTAGTAGGGTTGAACGCGTAGAGTCCTAGAGATATCGGGGCGGCAATAGGGCGTCTAGGAAACTAGTTAGCATAGGCCTAATTAGCCTTAAGGGCAGCGAAGGCATCTTAATTAGCGATATTACGTCTAATCTTTAATAGGCGGCTAATAAGGACACTCGTCTTAGCACTAGTATAGAGACTATAGACCTTAGTAGCCTTCTTAATATAGTTAGCATATATAGTAAACCGCTCTTTACCTAGCTTACTAAGGTCGTCGAGCTATTAATAGATAGATAGGGCAGTAGGAGCTTTGCCTATATCGGCTTTAGGAACTATATCGATCTTAGTAATAAGGTACGTAATAGAGTCGCCCTTATAAGAACTATAGATGTTCTTAGTTAATAGGATCGGCGAGAGGCCTCTATCCCTACGCTCGCTAAAGGAGCCTTCGGAGGAGACATCTTCTAGTAGTATATCTAGTATATTAACATCCGAGTTACTATAGTTAGTACTATAGTTAGTGCTATAGTCGGTACTAGAAGGAGTGCTATACTTCTTACTAGCCTTACGGAGGGCCTAGCGAGTATATAATGCCTTCTTGCGCGCTACTTCGGCCTTAGCGCGCTCGTCTTAAACTTCTTAAGGGACCTTACGGTTGCGGGTCGAGCGACGATCTTTAGCCTACATTTCTATAGCGAGCGCAAGACTAGTAGCTATATCGGCCTCGGTTTCTAGGCGAAGAGCCTTACGTTTAAGGACATTAACGATAGGAGCCTCTTAACCTTTAACAATAAAGCCTATACTATTAATACGATAGCCCTTCTCTTTTAGTAGATCCTTAGTTGTCTATACGTTAAGATCGACCTAGACAATCGCATCGTAGTGCTTCTTCTAGTAGGCTATCGTAAAGTCGTTAAGCGTAAAGGACAAGTTAAGTAACTACTTACCTACCTTCTTACTAGTAGTAGATATACGATAGATTATAGTACGGGAAAGATGCTCGGCGCCTTAACGACGGACCTTATACTTGTTAACGAACGAAGAGACCTACTTAGCACGCTCTTATCTACTATAGGCGAAGTTAATAAGGCTCTTAGGAAGACTGCTTAGTCCCCCCTAATATTCGAAGGCCTAGTCGAGGGTCTTAAAGCGTAAACGAATCTAGGTGCCGGCCGTCTCGAGGCTATAGACGATAGGAAAGGCTTATTCGATATCTATATCGTTAAGAACCTCGCGCTTAAAGATACGCTTACCGATAGACTAACGCAAGTTGTTTATACCGTACGCAACTAAGATAGCAGCCTTCTTAATATTCCTATTAATAACGCGTAGCAGGGTACGAGCGTTCTAGATCTTCTCTTAAGGGTCTTTAAGGGCAGTAACGATCTAGAAGCAGTGCTCGAGGCTAGTTGTAGCAGCTAAGGCGCTATCGGATAGGGCTTCGATCGAGACTAGTACGCCTAGGTTTAGGGCTAGTAGGTTGCTACTGCTACTAGCACCTAGCGGATTTAGGGCGCTAGAAGATATCTTAGTCGACCGGAGCGGAAAGGAGTTAGTAACGAGCTTGCAAAAACGTTCGTAGCTTATTAATAATAATTAAAGGGTTTAGATAGAAGAAGGGGGGGTAGGCGGTAGTAAGTTAGTTAGTATTCGAGTAGAAGAAAGAGCTTAGAAGGCTCGCCTTAAATAGGGTGCGAAGGTAGCGTAGCCCGTGTGTTCCGGTAAAGCAAACGGATAACGATTATATATAGACCCTAAAAAGTAAAGCTGTATACGAGACTCCTTTATTAGTAGGGCGGCTAAAGTTTAACAATCGATCTAGCTAATTGCTAGTAGCGACTACGCGCCTTTATTAACCCCTAGCTTTCGCAGATTCCCGCGCACTCGAAATGTAACTAGTTAGTTCGAGTACCTAGTAGTAATCTATAGTAGTAAGGCTAGCGGGACTAATAATACCCCCGGGGTAGCATTAGCTTTTCTCTAGAGATGCTCGGCAATTAGGAGCAAATCGCCTAGGCCTAGCGTAGCTCGTATTAGCCTATAGTACTGTCGTTGTAGATACAGTATTACCTTTTATAGTAGTAGGCATATAAACGTAGCCCGTGTGTTCTTCTTTCTTCTAGACACTAAGCTTAGCGGCCTAAGGTCCCTATTCTTAGAGGCTATAGGCCTAGGTTGCTACGTCTATCTAAGAGCTAGGAAGGGAGAGGGATCCTCCCTTTCTTAGTGTCCTACGTAACTAATACTAATTAGGGCAGGAACAATCTTCTCTAGCGGAGTATCTTATTATCGTTACTACCTAAGGGCGGTTGCTAGAGACTAGGAAACTAGAGGGAAGTAGTCCTAGAAGGGCGGGAGGTTAGGTTCGGCTAGCTTCCGAATGCTACCCCCGGGGTGTTATTTAGAAGTTATGCCTCGTATAGTTCTTTTCTAAGGAAATACAAAAAGAGTAAAGCTATAGTAACATCAATCGAAGGCAAAAGACAAAAGAGCAAAACAATAGACAAAGTAAAAGCAAAGGAGGGCAATAACTAAGAGTATTAACATCCGTAGGAACTAGGAATAGGTAGTAAGGACTAAAGCTAAAGGGCAGCGCTCTATATTAACAGCGCGGAGAATAGTTAATAGAGGCAAGGAAAGCAACGTAGTAGAGGCAGGAAAGGATATACGATTATTTAGTCTCGGGGTCGTCTAGCTATAATTCTAGGCAGTCTTTATCGCTAGACTAGTTAGGTTCCTCGGAGTTAGAGTTAGATAGCTAGAAGTCTAGTTTACTATTAGAATCGGAATCAATATCGGAAACGCTCTATATATAGTTAATCCGTATATAACCCTCCTTTTATTCTTAAGTTATTCCTAATAGCTTACTAAGACGAATCTAGGGATAGGTATAGTTCTTAGGCAGAACAGGATCTAGAATAGCGGTAGGATCCTCCTCCCGATAGGCATCTAAGGACGGTAGACGGTCTATAGAGGCACTAACTTCCTCCTCGGTTAGTAGAGGGCGGGCAGGTTCGCGTAACTTAACGATCTTCTTTAGATTAGCCCGAGGGTAAGAGTACTTTAAGGTAGCACTATCTAGCTCCTAAAGAAGGTATACGGAACCCGAGTAAAGGACCTCCTTTACTCTATAAGGACCCTTCTACTTAAAGGCTAGCTTATAGGAGTAACTATACTCTAGTTCGGACCGGTATAGAAGGACTATATCGCTAACCTTTAGAGGTTCCTAATCAATAGCATTATAGTTATTAAAATACTGCTTAGCTTCCTCCCGAAGGCGACATTGTCGAGCAAGACCCTCCTAAGAAGTCGTAGTTATATCCTTAAGAGCCTTAGCTCGTAGGGTAAGAAGATCTACCCTAGTACGAACAGACCCCTAATCGTAAACGCCGTACGTGCGATAGGACAATTTAATAGGAAGAACGGCGTCCCTCCTAATTATAAGTTCCGCTAGTATAAGTCTAGTCGTATCGACAATAGTAGTTCGGTCCGCCTAGAGAAGGGCTAGGACGCGGGTAGAAATAGGAATTAATCTATCGCTACTATTAGTTATCTTAGATAGGGCATCAATTAACGACCGATAGCCGCGCTTAATAATAGCATTCGACTAGGGATAGTACGGGGAGATGCGAACGTTCTTCGCCCTATACGAAACAAGCAGCGCTTAAACCTCCTTAGCTATATTGTTCGTAGCGTTGTCTAAGATAACCTCGTAAGGTGTTCCCTAGCGGCAAAATAGATCCTTAAATAGGAAGGTAGCTATATTACGGGTATTAATAGCACCGCAACCTTTATAGAAATAATAGGCCTCCGGCTATCGAGAAAGACTCTCTCGAATAATATATAGGCTATTGTTGCGGCTAAGATAGACCCTATCGCTATACTACCGCTCCCTAACTAACTAGGTAGTAGGGATACGTAGCTCCCCTAGACGTCGGTAGCTATTCCTAAAGTTACACTTAGGACAGCTCTTATAGTAGCGGGAGACGTTAGCCTATACGCCGTCCTACTAGTAGCGTCGACGAAGGATATCGAAGGTGCCCTCCGCCGCCCGGTAGCCGAGCTTGTCGTAAACGGAGCGAAGGATTTCTTATCGGGCTGCTAGATTATTAATAATACGCTAGAGCGGTATATTAATTATAGCCTATCGCTAAAGGATGCGATCTTTAATAAGGAACCTCCGGGAATAGCGAATAACACGACGGTATTAACTCCTTAATAGACTAGGAGCTCTCTTCGTATAGGTAAGGAAGTAGGCGATATTATAGGAGTCGTCGGAGTAGACCCTATTAAGGATATTATCCCTACCTAGTTCGCCCGCCTTAGCATCGTCCTAGTCCTCGCCGTTAGTAGCAGGGTCTTCGTTAGGCTAGTTAGTAGTTACTAGGTTAGTCGTCGGTAGTAGACCTAGTAATTACCGGCATAGCGTTAATATAGAAGGCAGTAAAGAAGGTACGGTTAATAACCGCGTCGATATCCTCTTCTTCTATTATCTCGGCGATATCTTCTTCTATAGTAGGCCTTCTAGAAAGGCTATCCGGTCTAGTATGCTTCTTGCTAGGAATATAGAAGACGTCGAAATCAAATAAATAGATCTAGGCAACCTACCGAGCTATCGTAGAGTTAGGTAGGTCGGAGGCTATACGGTTAAGTTAATAGACTAGCGTCTAAGCGTCGACTTCTAGGCGAAAGAACACTCTAAAGAGCTAAGGTCGGAACTTCTTAAGAGCCTTGTAGACACTAAGGCACTCTCGCTTGCTAGTATCGTATTAGGCCTCGATAGGTTTCTATAGACCGGACTCGTACTAGATAGGGTAACGTAAGGAGGGCTCCTTACGATTATACTATATTAGTATCTCGCTATAGCCTTCCCCGCTCGAGTCGACAGCAACAATTAATAGACCTACGCCTTCCGAGTAGTTAATAGAGGTAAGCGTAGGCGCGCTAACAAGTGCCTTAGTAACCTTATCCTTAGCGGCTTAGTAAACGGAGGTCTATTTAAACTCTATATCCTTCTTAAGTAAGGCGTATAGAGGCTTGTATACTAACGCAAAGTTTTCGACCTAGATACGGAAGTAGGAGACTACTCTAAGCTAGATCCGGATATCTTTCTAATAGGTAGGGTCGGGCTAGGACACAATCTTTAGGACCCGTACATTATTAGGATAGCGGCCGTTCTTATTAGTTACAAACCCGACAATGTTTATTCGTTTGTATAGGAGCTAAAGCTTCTCCCTATATACCGTTAGGTTAGCTCGCTCTAGGTCGTAGAGGACACTATCGAGGTTCTAAATGTGTTCGAGAAAGAACCTACGGATGCTAGGCTCTACTTCTTTATTATCGTACCTAGTTTTAGGGCCCTTAATACCGATATCGTTAAGGAAAGGCATCGCTATATAAGAGATATAGGCCGCGAGGACTTGGTTTATAATACGAACGAACTAGGCTACGGAGTTAGTTGCCCCTTATAGAAGGGTAGTTTGTCTATATAGCCTAAGAGGTATCTCGAAACTAGTAAGGTCGCGGCTATTAGGATAGAGAGGGATCTAGTCGTAGCCCGAGAAAACATTAACTAGCGAGGCTACTATATAGTTAGCAAAGGCTTCTAAGAACCTATTAGTCTCCGAAGGGAGGTTAGTATCTCTAATCGTAACTACGTTAAACTTTTGTATAGCGTTAATTAGACGGTACTTCTTTAGTTCCCTAGGAGCTATCTTCTTCTAAACTAGGAAGTATAGGTTGCGATACGAGGCATAGGAAGGCTCTAAGGTGCTAGCCTTTACACGCTGCCGTATTATATCCTTAACTATACCTCTTAGGCTTAGGTTTAGCTTAAACCCTAGGTAAGCCTAAGGCTTATACTCGATCGTTCGGATCCTCTATAGAGGGGCAACCTCCGGGTTAATCCTGCCTAGATGCGTAAAGTTATATACTAATACGGCTTCGCGGTTATATAGAAGCTCGTATAGCAAATCTAGTTTAAGATCCGAAAGCTCGATACTAGGTTTGATATTCGCTAGTCTCTCCGGCGTTAGCCTCGATCCCCTAGGAATAGCGGAGAACTTTTTAGTAATGTACCTCTAGTCGTATAGACTATCCCTAGGTATTAATATCGCTTCGCGGTTAAGGCACTTTTGTCGCTAGTTAGGATTTCCGCTAGGATTAGACCTATCGGTTATATATACGCTGCCCTTTATAGGCTTAATCTTGTTAGCTACCCTCTTATATAGGGTATATATACTAACCGCTCGTAATACCCGAGCCCTCTCTCTTTAACGTTAGGCCCGGAGATTGGCGCAATAGAATAGCGCGTAAACTTTATTAGAAGTCTCTTTAAGTCGGTAGGTATATAGCTAGTAATCCTAATTTATAAGTCTAGCGAAAACGTTAGATTCCTAATAATACCCCCGGGGTAGCATTAGCTCGGCGCTCTAATTAGTTAGTTCGGATTCGGGCTCGGGTAGATCCGCTTCCGGCGGCGATGCCTACGACAGCATTATTACCGAGATTCGTGTACTAGGTTGTCGTTGCCGGGTTGTTATACTCGCTATCGCTTCGAGTATTCGCCTCCTTAGTATAGAGCCTAGAAACTAGCCTTATCGTACGGAGCGGCGTATCTCTAGATATAACCTATTTAAGCTATACTAACTTATAGCGTAGATTACCGGTCTTATAACCGCGCTATAGCGTTTCCCGAAGAGCGTTTAGAAGCAGTAAGGATATCCTCGTAGGATTTGTAGCTAGTGTTTCCGATATAACTAGTAAATACGACTCGGTTGCCTTTCTAGTTAGCGATAGTTCCTTCCTAGGAGCTATCGTCGTAGTTGCGCTAGACACCCCGGGTTATACGAGACTATAGACGACCTAGAATAATTAGAGTGTTCGGGTTAGCGGCAATCTAGAAGGTAAAGGAAAAGCATATACCGAAAGCGTCTACTATAACATTATAGTAGGTACCTACTAGCGCAACCTCCCTATTTACTCTCTATATACTAAGGGAAATATCTCTGTTTATTAGCAGTCGGAGCTGTTTAGCCTAGCGCTTACTTATAATAAGTAACTCTAAACTATTATTAAGCATTGCTAGTAACTGCTAACTATAGCTTCCGATAGTAACTTAAATATAGATAGCGGGGACGACGGCAAAGGAACGGGTAACTGCGGAAAGGTCTATATTATTAGGGATAGAGTAAAGTTCCTTAGGTCGAGGAGGTCCTACTCGACCGATTTATTAGCTAGTAAATCGGACAGCCTTAATAGAAACTAAAACCGAAGCAGAGTCGGCATTATTATTATCCCCTCGGCCTATCTCCTTAATCCCCTCTTCGTTAGCATTATCGATAGTCTCCTAGCTCTCGTAGGTTACTAATTCGCCTTCTGCTAACTCCTAGGCCCCTAAAAATTCAGGAAGGAACTATAGGGAAGAGACGTCGATATAGTCCTCTCGCCCCTATTTACGTCGGAGGGCTACAAGGTCTTTTATAAAGGTTGCATCGTTAGGAATCCGGCTCTAGAACAGGTTAGTAGGCAAACCGTATACTAGAAGCTCCCCTATAGACACGTTAGACTTAAGGTCTAGGAACTATAAAGCCTAGAAGAGAGCATTTGCCTTTATATCGTAAGAGTTAGTAGGCCCGGCACTATACTTCTTTATATACCTATTAAAGCGAAAGCTCTTTAGGTCGGCTAACTTTCGCTTATAGGCCGGCGGGTTAGCTAGGCCTAGGGTACTACTAAGGTCGGTAGTAGCATCCTCTATATCGATATCTAGAGTTTCTAGTACCTCCGGAGTAGCTATACTAGCTCGGGTTGTACGGTCTTTAGCTATCTAGAGTGTTTTAGTCTTAGCGACTAATTCTCGCTATTTCTTAGCCTTATTAGCTGCCTACTTCTTAAGTATCCTAGTAGGGGCTGCCGCACTAGGGCGGGTAGGGTTCTGCGGGCTCTTACCCTTGCCCTAGGACTAGGTTTAGGACCTTGTAGTAGCGTAGACATCTAGCGAAGGCAAGGCCGTGAACTGGCCCACGGGTGCCGGCGGCAAGGGCAGACACAAAGTTGACTTTAATAGGCTTAGTAGTACTATTACTGCTCCGCTCCTTAACCTGTTTTGCCCTAACCTTCTAAGTTTCTCGTTTAGTAATAGCGGCGAGGGTACTGTTCCTAGTATCCTTAAACTCGATCTTGCTGCTATACTTCTTCTCTAGAAGACTCCTAAGTTAAGGCAGCTTTAGGGCTCTACGATCCTACTCGAAGTTAATCTTGTCGCCGGTATCGGTATAGTAGAACCGACTATTTACTTATATAACGAGCTTCCTCTTAAGAAGCTCCCTCTAGATAGGGCAGTCTAGTTAAACATGTTTGAAACCGCCGCATATCTAGCACTTGCTATCTAAGTTAGAATAGATCTTCCGTATAGTATAGACGTTAACTAAAGGGGCCTTAGGGTAGTTAGGATTAGAGACCTAGTAGACTAGTAGTATATCCTTTAGTATACTAGCATTAAGGACCTCCCTAACTCGCTATAGTACTTTCGCATTAAGGTTAAGCTAGGCTAGGGATTTAGCCAAGTCCGCAACGTCCTAAGAATACTTAGTAATAGTAGGAGTTACGGTACTAGGACCACTTTGCGATTTAGGAAGGAACTTAGGCCCTCTAGTTCCTAAGGCATCGTTCCTTACCTAGGCTAGGTTATTCCGGTCCTCGCCGTAAATGAACTTCTTTGCGTTAGCGGAGCTATTAATGTCGTCCTTAATAGCCTCTAGGACCTCTTTATACTTCCTAAAGGTCTCGGGATTAGCTTCGCTAAGCTTGTAGCGACGGAAGACACGCTTAGCCGTAGACTACGGCAACCCTTTAAGGAGTAGCCTCGTTCTCTAAGAATTCTCGAGGTCCTGCTAGTTAATACCGTCCGCTAACTTAACAAACTCGCGGACGTACTCCTTTAGGTCGTTATCTTCGGTACGCCTCTCTATATAGAGGTTCTTAAGCTACGTACGACTACCTTTAATACGACGGCTATCGCGATCCCGATACTCCCTTATAAAGGCCTGTTTAAAGACCTCCTAGTCGGCATTAGACTTGTCGTCCTTTTCTAAGTAGCTAACTAGGGTTCTAAGGGTTCGGTAAAGCTTAGTAATAGTAGTCCTCGTAAGGGACCGGACCTTATACTAGTCCGACTCCTCTTCGAGTCTATACTCGGCTAAGTTGTCCTTAAAGCGTTCTACGTACGCCGTAGCGTTCCACCCTTCGAATAAAGGGTTCCTACTACTTCCTAGCTCTAGCGGGCGACGCCTATTCTAACGGAGAAGGTTAGTTTGCCCTTAAATTATCTTTATAACGACATTATAGAGAGCCTCGGGCGTAGAAGGCTCGATAGCCCCTAGGTCGACGGCGCTTATAACAACTAGTCGTCGCCTAATTTCTTCGTTAATAGGGTCCGGTAGGTTATCAGATTCCGAAGATTCCGCTAATTTATAATGCTCGCTTTCGCTAGAGCTTATTCGATTATTACAAAGTAGTTGAAATAAAATGCTATAGGAAAGTGTTTTTAGTATATATTGTAGGTTTAGTTTGTTTCGATGTTGCTGTACGAGAAAATAGTGTACTAGGCTGTTTTCTTCTAATATTACCCCCGGGGTAGCATTAGAGTTTAGCCTCCTAGGGGTCGCCTAGACACCCTTAGGAGCTTTAATTTAGTAAATTTAGATAAAAGCCGCTCGGAGGAAGGAACTGCAATCTCTATTTATACCTAGATCCTAGAAACTAGCTACTTTACTAACTATTATTATCTCCTTTAGCTAGGCGGGGGGGCGGGGACCTTCTTTTTCTAGTAGAAGGCTAAACACTATCCGAACGAGGCAGCGAATCCTAAAACAATCTACCCGGTTAATAGAGGAACTGTCTAGGTATCCGACCTATAATCTAGAAATTGCTATCGTATAGATAGTCTTAGCAAACTAAGCAAGGCCGATAGGTAATTAGTCTATCTCCTCCTTAGGCGGGCGGTAGCTTATCTCGAGCAAGCGGTGCTAAATAGGTCTTCGACCCGGAGCCGAGTCCTTAGAAGCTAGCTATAGTTATAGACTAGGCCCTAAGCTGTAATAGTCCTAAGGGTTTGTAGCTTTTCGGGGTTAAAGCGATGCCCTCGTTAAGAGGTTTCTCTACTTATCGTAACGGCCTCTTAAGATACTTCGGTATCGTCCGTATCGTAGGCTCTTATCGTGCCCTCGCTTCGGTTATAGCTATTCGTACCTAGAGACTACCTTTAATATACCCGAACCTATTAGATATAAAGAGATAGCCCTACCTTCGGCTCTAATAAAGGACGGAAACCGACACCACTACTACTACTTAGAGCAATAGTATAGGCTACCGAGGGTAACATAACCTATAGCAATATAGGCAGCTATGTTTAGCAAGATAGGATAACGAGACTGTCGCTTAGGCTAATAACTAGAGCCCTACAATATAGGCATTATAGAAGTGTAATATAAACAATATACTATACGAGGTTGATAATCTGTCTACTCTATAGAAGGAGGCCTCTTATATAGGCTTAAAACTAGCCTATAGGTATAGGGCCGGTTACTAGCCAATACTAGCAAGGTTAGAAATACCTTATTAAATAGAAAGGATACCTATATTTAGAAAACACTTAGGAACTAAAAGAAAACCTATAGAACTATTAGCAGATAATCAAAAAATATTAAAACTAGACAAAAAAGAAATAACTAGTATAGGAATTAAACCTACGACCTCTTAGACCCTATCGATTATAGCGCCTTAGAGTTCTTAACGACCTAGGGTAGTATAGCTCGAGGAGCGGGGACTCTAATAGCGTACCTAGCAACTATGTCTTTTATAGCTAAGAATTATACTACTAGACTAACTAGCTAAAAGATAAAATAGATAGGAAACACTAGAAATATATACCTTTAGGACACTAGATTCTCGGCGCTCCTACTAGGAATTTTAGAGATAGGCTAGGATGTCCTACCTAGACGACTCTAGCTACAAGGCGACATCTATAATCGGCTATCTAGGGGAAACGGCTCGTTAGTAGATAACGAGAACAATATCGGCTCTATAGGCGAAGAGCCTAGCTCTCTTTCGAGCTCCTCCGCCTATTAAATAGAGGCTTCCTCTACCTTAAGAGCTTATATCTCCTAATTTTCCTTTATACGTAGCGACTTACGTAAACGGCGGACCTTTACGCGGTACTCGAAGAGTTTCTGCGTAAGAAGGTCCTCCTCCTCTTCGGCCGCCTTAAGATCTTAATTCTTTAGCTATCTTTAGGCGCGCCTTCCGGATTTTTTTATACTCTATACGAGTAACTTATATATTATAGGACTAGCCGTATAAAGCGCACTTAGAGCAGCGACCGGAACGAAGATTAACCTTATAGGATTTACCGGCCTATTTGTAATAAAAGTAGCGGATCGGTATTTCGAGACAGTCGGCGAGAATGTTATTTACGATATTTTCCTTACGCTAGCGAGAAGACAAGTCCTTCGATAACTTTAGTATAACGAAGAAGTCAGAATTAGAAAGTTCCGGAATAAGGGACTATTCCGCAGCTTTTTAATTTCCGCTTAAGAAGGGGGATAGTATTACGGATCTAATTAGCTAGAGTCCTTATATAATCTTAGAGCGACGCTAAGACTAGTAGGCTAAGCTGTCGCTCTATCTTACTAGGAGCGATAGGAGCGGTCGAGAGCGATAGCGTCGCTTACGTCGCTTACGACTATAGACAAGATATCTCCTTTATATTTAGGAACGCTGGAATACCCTTATAGCTCGAGGCGTTTAACTTATATTACCTACTTACTAATTAGAATTACCTTTATACTAATTATTCTATCTCTGCCTCCTGCTTATATTAGCCTCTCTAAAGAAGCCTCGGCTTACACGTAATAAGAAGTTACCTAACGATCTGTCGCGAGTAACCGTAACATTCTATAGGACGTGAAATTTTTATATAAATCGATAACCTTCGAATTTAGTATTAGTAGATATTAGCTAGTATTAGGCTATTAGCTCCCTATTCGGCGGTTAATATCTTAATAAATATAAATCCGATAAAAATAAATATCGTACCGTTCGAAGGCGCGGGTCGGTTCTATAGAACGTAAAATTTCTATTAGATAGCAGGTTAGTTCTTAGTAAATTTTTACGTAAAACTTTTATTAGGTCGATAGGTTATATAAGGTAAGTCGGTCGATAGGTTATAGAAGGTAAGTTCAATTCTACGTAAAACTTTTATTAGGGCAAGTTTAATTCTATATAAAACTTTTATTAGGTCGGTAGGTTATTCGGAAGAGTCTATCGTTTAGGTACGTTAAAGTATACGTTAACTTAAACGAGGTATTCCTTCTACTATCCGCTATATCCGAAGAAACGCGGGGTAAGTTAAATTCTACGTAAACTTTAGCGCGGTATTACTTCTACGGCGTACGGTACCTAGAGTAACGTAGGATAAGTTAAATTCTACGTTAACTTTAATAGTATAGTCGGGTCTATAAAAATTCTTAGCTAATTATTCCGGTCTTAGTAGACAACTTAGAATTTCGCAGGCATAGGCGTAGTCCTTAGATTAGTAGCAAGCTGCTAATAATACCTTAAATTAAGCGATGTTACTATACTATATATAGGCTTTAGCTTTATTATTATAGCGTAGCGATAGCGAGGTTAGAGGGCAGTAAGGGCGAGAGGAAACGCGTAGTTTGTTTACTAAGATTCAAAACAGTGGAAGGTGCTAACAATAGAATCCGTGTCTCGTAATCTCCGGTTCCAGTAGACCCACTCTGTCCTCCTTGTATGCATTACCTATACTGGAGTCGCAGTGCACCGCTGTCTTTGCCAAGATGAAGGACCTGAGAGCACTTCGCAATCGCTGCCGAGGGCAAGAGAAGGGGCGAGACTATTCGAGAATCCACTCCGGTTATTCGAGAATCCGGGCATCCGATTACGGAGGAGGCCTAAGGCAAATTTGTTAGTTATGTTCTCCACCGCTAGACCTCACCGTCACCGCTGTTTTAATCGCTGTTTTAACCTGACCTCGCTGTCGCTGTCGATAGCTATAATATTATGTTGTCAAGCCCTTCTGCGCAGTTACAAGCCGAGTGTGATGCCGCCGCCTCCACCACTACCGCCACTACCGCTACCACCGCCGCCGCCGCCCGCTCCGAGGGCTCTACCAGTACCTACAGCGCTAGCAGGTATGCTAGATTACACTGAGATTGTATAGCAGGAACCATACGTTGATGCGAGGGTCGTAGAACCTCATTTGCTAGGCAGGCAGTATACCTAGAACAGTCAGGATTAGCTATAGTGTCGAATTCTACGTCCATTATTCACTCAATTCTTCTTTCCTACGTCATTATTCTACTAAGCAGCCAGCATAGGCATCAGAAGTCACCATGCGATGTTCTACAGTGTGGATTACTAACAATGTAGTCTCACCGAGACCGGAGCGGCCCTGGGTCCGTAGATTCTCGAATAACCGGAGTGGATTCTCGAATAGCCTCGCCCCAAGAGAAGAGAAGGCGCGCACAGAGATGTGCGTTTTCCAGTGCTAAAGAAGATTCCTCCACTCTCGTTCTCATTCTGTCTGTCGATTGAGAACCACTGTATTCGGGCCTGAGACGTCGAAATGTCCGAGAAGAGCGTCTCGATTCACGAGGTCGATACAGTAAGCGTGAGAGCATCGAAGTTGTGGGAGACCAAACACATCGAGCACGTCTGTGAAGGCGGCAAAGATAGTGGCCTGGACGTCGCGGCAGTCCTCGAGGACCGTGATTTGGAGGCAGTTCAGCCAGACGAGAGGGAAATTAACGAGACGCGAAGAAGCGTTCGGAAGGTCGATATGAGATTGCTTCCTGCACTCGCAACCATTTATCCGCAGCTGAATTGGAGGCAAACGCCGCTCAGCCGTGTGTCTCCACTAAGCCGCGGATACTCCTTCGCGCTTAGGATCGCAGGCATGGACGAGGATGTCCAGCTCTCAGCCGGGAACCGATACACGCTGATCACCATGATTTTCTTCGTGCCTTACGCGATCTTCCATTTCCAGCCAACATACTCATAGTAATAAGAAAACCAGGAGCATGTCTCTGGTTGTCGAGTCTAGTTGTTGCGTGGGGTGTGGTCTCGATCGGTATCGGCTTCAACACGAGCTGGACTCAGAATATAGGTTGCCGCGTATTTTGCTAACAATTTACCAGATCTGGGAATATGCCTGACTTTGCCTGCGGAACAATACCGTTGCATGCAGCTTCGGCTTCTTCCTTCCAATCATTCTGAAGTCTGAGATGGGCTATTCGACTGCCATGTCTCAGGTTCTCGCTTTCCCACCTTATGTTGCTGCGGCACCATGGATCTTTTTCACAGCATGGGTGGCTGACCGATATCGGAAACGAGGCCTCATCCTAATCTTCAACTGCCTCGCCGCAACTATGGGCGTAGCGATGATGGGCTTCACGTATTCAGATCCCGCAGCACGATATGCCGGAGTCTTCTTTGGGGTCTGCGGTGGAAATAGTAACGTGCCGACCATCCTCAGCTACATGCACAACAACATCGTAGGGCAGATGAAGCGATCGGTCGCCAGCGCTTTGAACATCGGCGGAGGCGCGATTGGCGGTATAGTGGCCAGCAACATCTTTCGGCAGCAGGATGCACCACGCTATGTTCCAGCAATGGGTATTGCAATCGCCACGCAAGCTGTGAGCATTCTACATGTCTTCAAAATTTCTGGATATATGCGAGGAGTAATCGCAAAGCGGATCGCGGCGAGTTGATCATAGAAGGCCAGAACGGATTCAGGCACACATTGTGAGTCGAGCTACGATCGGCCATCTTGCACAATCGAGATCTTCATCGTAGGTAGAATTAGATTTGGATTTAGTCCGTGACCAAAGCGTCTGTTCTCCGCAAAATGTATAGCCAATGTGAGACTCTTGGCCGATGCACATAGCCCGAAGAAATGCGCTTCTTGCGCTCCGCCAGAGTTTCGTTGTGCTCCTCAGGCTCGATTTGCTCTTTTGCCTCGAGTCTCCAGAGCTGATGCGGATGCGGGAACCCAGCCTTGATGATGTCGTCTGCTAGTAGGCCGTTTCCGACAGTGGCAGGAAAGGGTGGGACGAATGGAAACCTGTCTTCCGAGTAAGATACCACGATCCACCGTCCGGTTCGCGGCCTCGTGAGCGCGGCTAGGTGAACAGCCAGGATGTGCAATGGGTGAACACTTGCTAGCTGAGCCGTCCCGCTGCCAGAGATGCGGCTTGTCCAGCCATTGATGGACAGCAGATATGGCAGTGTCGTGTCCACTGCAGGCCCACATGCTATGCTATCGCTAGTGCTTTTGTCTAGCACGATGTCAAATAGCTTGCCGGCCTTCATCCTCAAATGGAGCAGTGACAGAGCAGAATGCAGCGAGAGGAGGTCTATGCATAACCAGCCCATGGGTGGTGGCAGCTCCGATTGCTGGACGCTATCATGCTTGGCGCCTGGCTCAAGAAGGCTCTGAACATGCTCATCGGCCAGGATTTCCTGCTCCCGCTTTGAGGCAGCTTGGATCGCGGGCTGAGAATAGTCCACGTTCAAGATCTGCTTTGGATCCTTGATGCCCGGAAGAGTGCGGAAAGGATGGCTTTCTGAAGTGCCGCAGCCAATGTGTAAGATCTCGGGCTCTGCTGTGCTCAGCAAGGTGGCCCTTTCGAGCACTTCCTTACAGATATCGAAGAGCACTTTGGAGGGTAGGAGCCAATCAAAGGGCTTCGGATCCTTGCTGAACCTGCTGTCCCAGTATTCTTGCGCCGCGAAGTCCGGCATGCTGGGCTGCAAGTGAATGAATAATAATGGATGATGAAGCCTGTTGCAACAAGAAGGAAATGAGGAATCAGGCCAAGAAGACAAAGGCGATGTTGGCCCGTCGCAAGGTTCCCCATTTCTTGGCGATCGCGTAGTCCAAAACCCAAAACAGGCATGGTATGAACCTCGCATTAGGATGCTTCGCGACGAGACTTCACTTCTCCTGAGGTCGTTGCCCCGGTATTGAACTCCTGGAGGGGTCACAGCTTTCCGCCGAGAGAAGTTCATCCGGACTTCACTACACCGCTACGAGACGATTGCCTACTCTTCCATTCACCCGTGTGATGAGATATGGACCCTGGATACCTCCATCTTCCGCGACGAATCTGTTGAAGTCTTCTGGAGGAACGGCCTGGCTCGTGAGACGAGGTCGGCGATAGCCGCCGTCGGAGAACTGTCAATCGAAGATCACAGTGACAAGAGCAGATGAATTTGCAAGGGCGAAGAGATAGACTGAACGAGTGGGGCCACATTGCCATGCGGCACGCATGTCAGCATAAGGCGGGCGACACATGGCGTTGTGTGGCCATCTCTATGCCATAGGATCTGGCTTGCAGACTTCTTAAGAGCAAGAGGTTAGGGCTTCCCATCAAGCCAAGACAGTTTCTATGGACCCACGTCGAGGAACGGAGGCTGAGAGATGGCTGCGTCGACTCGAGAATGAGAAGACGTCCTTTATGCTTGTAAGTCGAGACTTTGGAACACCCTCCAGGCCATTGATCGCAACCACAGCCATCGAGGAGTACGCCCATATGCTCACTCTATCCCACTGGCAGCTTCAATACTATTCATAGCTGACCTCACGCAGAGTTTTTCTGACATCGCCCATAGAATGCCGCCAATTAGATGCTTCTAGTATAGCTGCATGTGGCTGCGGCTCAGAGGCGGGGAGAGCTTGAAAGCTGCAAGCCTCTTCCTGCCAACAGCTGTTCTCTCCGCTCGACGGCATCTGGGTTTTCATATCGTGGTCGCTTGCAACAGAATTGCGTAATGACAGCCTGAGGGCTCGCGCCAGGTGCCTCGCATCAAGCTCTTTAGCGATACTGGCGGACGATCGAGCTGTATTAATGTGCTGTAGTGACTGCGAACGCAAAGCAGCCCCGCAGACTTTGCCATCTCAAAGCCCGCCAGTATTTGCATGTTGTATTTCTTGTGCAGGTAGCTTATGCAGATGGGCTGTGTCCGTCATGCAGCCGTCAAGGCTGTGGACCCCCCTCTCGCTGTAAGTATAATCAACAAGAGAATGCAGATCTCCAGGATATAAGAAGACCGATTTCAGCCAGGACGACGGATATCCCAAACAACAAAGCATCTCATCCAGCATCTCATTCAGCATTCAATATCGCAGCATCTCAAGCCATCAATACGACCAACTCCAACCTTCACAATGTTCTCTTCAATTATCAATCTTCTGGCCGTCAGCGCCATGCTCTCGCTTGCCATCGCTGCTCCAACCCCATCTCCAATCTCCAACAATCAACACCGGCAAGCAGCAGAAGTCGTCGGCGCCACCGTCGAAGTAGCAGAATTCAGTGAATCCCTCCCATCCCCTAAATCTCACCAAAATTCCCTAACGAGATCCCTAGTCATGGACGTCGTCTCCAAAGTCCAAGACGCATTCAACGAAGCCTACGACCAAGCATCCCAATTCACACAAGACACAGTCGTCCGACTCGCAGCCAAATACCCGACCAAGAACATTCTCATGTATCACGATCAAGACAGCACGTATAAGCTTTACGGCGCTCAGCATCAACATGTTGAATTCGACCTGGCAGCGCCGCTCGGCACGATGGGGTATGAGATTTGGATTTTCGATCATGGGACTTTTCAGAGGGCTGGTGATGGGGGGTATCTGAATTGGGCGTATATTGGGAATGCTACGGCTCTGAATGATGATGGTGGGGTGCAGTTTTATTTGAGACAGTGATGTGTTTGGGATATGTTACTTGTGTTGGGGCGTTCAATGGGCGTTTTTGAGCGATTCTGTGAATTTAGCGATTCTGTCAGTTCAGCGATTCTGTTCTTCTTATTCTTTTCCATCCATCTCATTAAGGGCTATCCGAATGTACGAAAGTATTGTTTCCAAGCGCTGCATTTTCAATGCACAGATATGCTCTCAAAGTCACTTCGCTCTGCATACAAGCACACTGAACAAATCCTGCGCCGTGCCCTCCTTCTTCCACACTTGCAGATATTTGGCCAACCCAATCTTCAGATCTCCTCCTCCAAGTCCCTGCAGTAGAAGACTCCAAACAACGCGATGAATCCCATAACGACTCCCAAAGCAAATGCCAAAGCAGAGCTGTGAACTCTTCCATCTTCCACCTCTCGCAGACGATGCGATGCTGCGGTCTCTTTCTCCTTGCTACCCTCAATCGCAGCCACAGTCTCTTCCCTGGACTTCTCCAACAATGATTCAGCAAGTTCCAGCTCCTGCAAGAGACGCCGATTCTGTGCCTCGGCATTCTCCAGAACAGTCTGCCAGTGCTTAGCCTGGTTGTTACGTTCCTGCTCAAGATGCTTCACAGTCTGCTCAAACTCTTCGGCACTCAGGGCGAGATCTTCAACTGCAGACTGCGCTTGCATGAGATTCTCTTCGAGCGTGGAGTTGGAAGTTTCAAGAGCCAGAATTTCCTGTTGCAGATTGCCAATAGTATCTCCGGACTCTTTCAGTGAAGCATAGTGCTCCTCGCGAAGATTTGATGCTTCCTCCTGGAGTGCTGCACGCTCATCTTCGAGTTCATCGATCTTTTCTGAAGCTTGGTGGTGCTGTTCTTGATACTGCTCGATAAGTGAAGCACGGTCCTCTTTCAGATCGTCAACGATGCTCTGGTGCTCTCGAACCTGCTCGGCAGCTTCCTCGGTTTGACGGTCAATTGTCTGCTGAAGAGAGTCGATGTTTGATTTCAGAGTCCCAATTTAGTACAAGAGTTCCATTGAGCTTTGAAGTCCTCGTTGAGATTCCCAATTTCGGTCTTCTTGGCCATGCAGAACTCGTTCAGGAAGTATTTGTCTTGCTCCAGCGACACGATCTCGTTTCGAAGCTGTTGCGCACTCTTATAGTTACGATCCTGAAGGTCTGTATTTGCTTGTACCAGGGATGCATTCTCGCCTTTCACAGACGCCAATTCTTCTTGAAGTGCTTTGATGGACGAGTTAGCGGCCGCGGCTTGTTCATGGATCTCTTGCTCGCGGCTCGACGCAGCAAACTTCAAGCTCTCAATGTCCTCTCTCAATTCTTTGAGTTCTTTATTCTTCGCAAGAAACACTTTTCCAACACGCTCAACCTGTGCTTCCAGTGTTAACAAGTCTAGGACATTTCCCAACCTGTCCGAATTCCAACCAGCGATCACAGTCTTGGCGCGAGACACGACCGCTTTCAGTTGATCGTATTCTGTTTTGGAGACTGACGAGTCTTTCTGAGTGCTTTGAGCCACGCCTCGGGATACGTAGTCGTTGAGAATGCTGATCGGAGAAGATGGTGATTTTGGATTCGTCTTAAGAGCAGCGTTGAACAGCGGCGCAGGTGAAAGTCGAGGAAGTCTGGGACTAGGTTTGGGCTTTGCATCTTGACGTGAAGCGGCGCGAGCAGATCCTTCCGCCGCCATCCTGTCGTCGAGTGATTCACGGCTTGCAAAAGAAGTATCCGAAGAGTTGGGTGCACTCGATCGACAGCTTGTCGAAAGGCTGCCACTCGAGTCGCGATGTGGGTAGTGATGTCGTTTAGTCTACAAGCTCATCGATGATTACTTTGAAATAGCTCTTTCTTGGAAGTGAACATTGAATCAAGCTCCGAATTCTCTCCCTTTATATTACGTCTTGCGCGAACATGGAAATTCTCGAATTTGGCGCTAATCAGAACGTGTCTCATCATCCGAGAGTGAATCATGTCTTACAATGCGTTGATGTCTGATTTAGTTTGCATGTCTTTCAGAGCGCGATTCATATCCCAAGATCGCCTTTCATGGTCCACGCCCTAGAATACAAACTCGCCTGGGACTCCATTGTAGCCTCCAAAAGTACCGGCGCTGTACTCATTATGTCAACTCGCCCAGATCGAGACGCGAATGATTGAGCTTCTCGCCTGGCCTTCACAGAATGTCCGGAAGAGAACACGGGTGTTGAGAATATTCTCGTAATTTGATAAGAAGGAGTCCGCTCGATTGTGAGATCGGAAGCGGTTTGAAGCATTATCTGTGTAGTTCAGCGTGGCTCTCAGCGACTTGCATACGTGATACTTGTGATATCTGATGTTTTGAGAAAACTCGCGGAAGCTTGATCAGGGCTGGAATGATAGGCTGCCGATGCGCAAGAGCAAGAGTCGATCCGTTTTTGAGAGGCATGCTTTTTCGATTTCCAGAGAGTCTTTGTCTCGGTAAGAAGGACAGGACATTGTCGAAAGGCCATTGGATTGCTGTTACAGCAGTGCCTCCATAGCGATATTCTTGGGCAGTTTCTGCCCCTTCATATTTCCGCACCATCGTGATGAAGCTCAATTCATGTCCAGGAGGGTTCCAGTTCCAAATCAGTGTGAACGAAAAGCCTAGATCCCGGCTCTCGGCTGGAATGTGTATCAGCAATTGAACCAGAACCATGTCACCATGCATGCTTCAGAGAAGCATATCGACCGCCTGACAGACATGGGCATGTCTCGGCGCTGTGATTGTCCATGAGGCGAACTAGGATGTTATTGCATGAAATAGCATTGCTGTGGCGTCCGATCTTGTCCGGATGGTTGTGCGGGCGCTCATACTGACAGACGAAGATAACAGGGCCACCTTCTGCCAGCATAGAAGGATCAGAAGGTCATGACGGTGTTCGATTGCGGTGATGCGTTTTGACTTACTGTATCAGACCTGACTAAGCAGACCTCACTACTGTAAGCGGACTCTCCCTCAGGCCGAACTTCCACCACCCAATAGTCACCATGCTCACCACTCCGCATGCTCTCGGATCAGACCTCTCCTTGCTGCTTCTGCGAGTTCTATAAGGCTCATACGCATAGAAAGTTGTCGAGGCTTCAGGAAATGTCGCCAATCAGACCGTCATCGAGCAGCTGGAGCACAAGATCATCTTCGATAGGAAGACAGTCATCGTTAACGCCCCCTCAAGTGATAGTGCCTCACTCGAGTATTGGGGCCTGACTCCATTGTCTCGGGGCAGCCTCCACATTCAGTCAGCATCTGTCGCTAACACATCGCCCTTCAAGGATCTGCTCGGTCAAGAAACGACACCTGGTCTTGCTACGGTGCCCGCGAATGCGAGTGACGGTGTTTGGGCTGACCGGGTTAAGTCAGCGTATCGCTCGAACTTCCACTACATCTCGACAGCGGCGATGATGTCCCGGGAGCTTGGTGGCATGGTGGATGACACGCATGTGGTGTATGGCACTGCCAACGTTCGTGTTGTGGATGCTTCGGTGCTCCCATTCCACATCTGTGGACATCTCTTCACACCTGGCACGAGTACGATGGCAGTTGTACAGTCCCGGGCCTTGAAAGTCACTGCAGCATTCTTGAAGTAACACAAGTTCCGGTTCAGCTGGCGATGCGTGCACGTCACAACAAAATACTTTTGTCTTTTGGCAGGTGCTTAGCGCTATGATACTGGACATGAGCCCGATGAAGTACGAGCCAGCAATCAGGAGGGCCAATGTTCACCCATATCAGAAGGAGAGTAAAAGCTTCCGCCATGGCAAGAAGCACGCTTGATCGGTAGGGTCGATGGAACATGGCGTTCCTGCATGATGCGGCTGACAGCTGTACGGGTGGCGTGCTGACGGTACAGCTGAAAAGCGATCCGATGCAACCAAAAGTCAGCCTTATTGAAATGATCATCATGGAGAGCCCGGCATGGCTGTGTGACTGCATCCAACTACCAGGTCACTCAAAGACTGATCTCACATCGGCCACGTGCGACTGCGAAAAATGTGTCAGTGTCACTACAACACCATAAGACATAGGCTAAATTTGGACCTTCAAATACCACCCTGCCGACTGTATACGAACTTCAGGTGATCCCAGTATAGGGCTCTTTCCTGATTAGTGGTGTATGGAGAGACACTTTGTCAGGCAATATTGCGACTTTATGGAGATGCTCTGCTTTTGCTATGCTAATCTTGTAGTAGAATGCAATAGGAACGGGGCATACACCTTTGTGATGATGCCATATAAGATGAAGCCGACCAGCAGCTGAGAGACATTTATTCGCAACTATCAAACACCATCTCGCGCACCACCAAGACGAACTCACAGTATTCTCACTCTCGCTTCACACCATCAGACTCCAGATATGCAGCTCCCACTTCTCGCTCTGGCCGTCTTCGGCCTGTCAAGTGCAGCACCACTTGCAAATCCTGAAGCCGAACCAGCTCCAGTCCCAGTCCAGCTCCCAGCGTCTCAGAACACCCAAGTCCAGATCATCAATCTTCAAGCCACAATTGTCAACCTGGCCGATGACATCGTCAAGACAAACCAAGGCAAAGCCAAGAACGACTACAACACCGCCAGCACCCAACTCACAAACATCGGCAACATCGTCAAGACTCCCACATCATACCAATGCCCCCCGCCAACCAGTAACGGCCGCATCACCACCGCCGAGAACGCACTCATAGCCTTAAACACCACCCAAAACCAACTCTCCACCCTCTCCCTCCACCTCCAAGACCCAAACTCTTCCAACAAACTCATAAACTCCGACTTCTGCTCCGCCTCCTCCAACCTCCAATCAATAAACCACTACATCACCTCCATCCTCGGAACCCCCTCCAACGGCCCCTCCAACCAACCCATCGCCCAATCCCTAACATCTTCCGGCTCCGGCTACGACGAAACAAAACTCGGAGAAACCTACCAATCCTCTCTCGTATCCCTCGAAGCCCTCCTCGCAGCCCTCAACATCACGGGCAAATCTCAGCAGAGTAGAGATGCGTTCTCCAAAGCGGAAAGTGCGTTAGAGACTTATCGTCAGGCTGCGAATCCGGGCGTGGGAAGTTGTCCGATGATTAAATTTGGGGGTGTGGAGACGAGGCAGCAGGCTGTGGAGTTTGTGAAGAGGGTTGAGAGGCTGGTTCAGGAGGTTTATGCTGATACTAGAGCGCGGAATGGGGAGGCGCATGGGGATTTTTGTTGGATTGATGGGTATATGACGGCGGTTGGGGGGTTTGTTGGGGCTTGAATGCTGGGACTGGATTGGATTGGATTGCATGGACGGTCATTGTTCGAGAGATGTGAGAGGTGGCTTTTTGTGGTAGTGGATATGTGTGTCTTTGATTCAGAAAGTTTTGTTTTTTCTCGGATATGTCAGCTGCAAGACACAGTCATTTTTGAGGCCAGCTCACTCCTGTCCAGCTTAGGATGATTCCTTTTCAATACATGCCCAGATCCAAGGACTTTAATGTCCCACCGGCAGACATGTATCCAAACAATGCTTCTGTCTTCTCTCCATCTTCCTTTCCACAGCCCTATTGACTTTCGGACTGCAGTGTCCCGCGGGCATATCAAGACAGATATCGTGTCTTCTCCATTACATGCTCAAGATGTCAGACCCGTGCAAGTGGCTGTTCTTTCAGTGATCATCTCCTATGATATGAGGGCTGACCTCGGTTCGGGTGAAATGCCTGCCCTCCATGTCGCAACCACATGCTAAGTATCTCATCCACCACATCGCCAATTGTCGGATCAGCCAGGCTGACCTCCCAGTCCACCCGCTGGCGATAGGGGCCGCCTGGGATCAGATAGCGTCCTCGATTTGCCCAGACGGCAATTCTTTCCACCTGCAGGCCTCCGCTTCGAAGATACATGCGACGCCATGAAGCTTGACGGTCCACTTTCGAAAGCTGTAGAGCACCACGGAACCAACTAGCATCGCAGAAGTAGAAGTTCAGCTGTCCGTTGTACAGTTCCATTCCGAAATCGAGCTTGTGGCACAGATAGCAAATGGCATCTTTGGAAATTGCTAGGGTGTTCAAGTGGAAGGAATTGGCGGTGGGAGCTGAAGGAGGCGAGAAGAACAGGCATCGTTGAAGCTGCGGCGAGCTGGCAATGGTATTGCGGAACGCGATGCTTACTCGCTGGCAGCGCAGAAGAGTCAGACGGCTCGAGAGAGCGTCTTCGTCGTCGTCTTCTTCGTCGTCAATTTCATCACCTTCGTTGTATTCGTAGTTTGCGTCGTGAACAAGCTGTCCTGTCGAAGCTGGTGAGACATCCAGCAGAATTTGCTCGAGAAGCTCTGCTGTGTGGAAGACGCGCCAAGAGGCTGTCGTTGCAGCCATTTTTACTGACTGTTAGGACGAAATTATGCAGCTCTGAATCGAGTGGTTGACTTCTGCGCGTGAGGAGAACACGAATGATGTCCAAAGGTGAAGGCTGAAGCTGGCGATGTCAAAGGCTGAGGAATCAGAAAGTTCCAGCGCGGACCGGTCGCGTACCAGCCTTGAAGCAAACAGTCCACGCCACGGAAATGAGTAGCTGAGAGTCAGTGTAAAACTCCGAAACTGAGCCTTGTAGCGCCGCATGGGGCATTCGATGCCGCCTAGAAACCACTGGAATGCCTTATGTGCTGTACCCAGCTCAGGGCGCTCCTGAGCTAGATCAAAGCTTCTGCAACCCGGTCCTAACAACAGCAGCACTCCCGTCATATGCATTTAGACCAGGTAGAATCTGTTTCATAGCTCCTGCAGTATTCATGCCCATCCTCGCCGTATCTTGGAAGATGTGGAAGTCCATGATATGATCATAGATTGCACAAGCTTCACTGCGACGCAGCCAACTTTCCATCTATGGGCAGCATAACTCAGTAGTTTGGTGGTTGAGCTCTAATATAGTAGTTCCCAAGGCATCATTCATACATTCCACCTCTTTTGTGTAAGTAGGCCTCGGCATGCCTTCTTCGATCTGATCTAAGGCGCTGCAGTGTTCTTGGAGATGTCAGCTTGCTTAGCACTCGTGGACTTTCAAAGCACCCGTTGTAGATCTATGAGCCTACGCGCTGGAGCGACTCAAGCCGTTGAAACCGTGTCCTGAAAGCTCGGCCGGCTCTTCATTACTTGTCCTTGGTGGAGAGAATTTGTCGGCGCAACGCGCAGAGCTGCTGAAGGCTACTGGCTCACGAGTCGGCGTTTGAGAGGTGGTGTTGGTCATGATGCGATTACTTCTTGATGCGAAAAGAAGACGATGCGATGAAATGGACACGCGTAGAGGTTCCGAACCAGGGGTCATGGTATCGGCAACTGACGGCAATGGATCTGGGACGGATCGGTCGTGGAGAAGGCGACCCACATTGTTTGACTTCACCTCATCGACACCACTTCATGTGGTCTCTGTATTCTCGCTCTCTTCGCTATCCTGCTTCACGAATGGTGCTGCGCCTCGGTTCGACCCTTGATATCCTGCGATTTCGAGAACTACACTCCCGACCTTCCTGCCAATCGCGATCAATTCTCGAGCACACCAAATCTCAGTCGACAGTTTCGCAATTCAGCAGTGAGAATCCGAGCCGTCGTGATCTCCTCGTGGTCAAAGTAGTCAAGCTTCGTATAGAATGAGGATGATATTAGCAATCCGTGCCATGCACCAGCAATGTGTAAAAGTGCACAAAAGAGCAGTCCATTCCAGGTTTGCGGGAAATTGAAGGCGTAGTAAGAAGGCATCGCGTGGAGGCGGTAGAGGCTGGATGTTTGGATAAGAGAAGACCTGCAAGACCGTGTAGAGGACTGTGATGGTGCAAATGGTTTCGAATCCGCATGCGGTACCCAGGGTCGAAAGGTAGAACCATGAAGGGGTGCGGTGGATCTGCTATGACATCGAGAGCTGAACAGAGTACGGGAGTAAGCCTGCTTTATGGTTTCAACATGTCAACTAAGATCTCAGGAAAGGCTGCAGAGTAGGCTACAGAGTTTTGGCTGCTCGCTCCGACATATACAGCAGTCGCTGTGCTCCTCCTACGGTGACTCGTAGATCTCACCATATCCTCCTTCGCTCGAAGTGACTTGCTCCGCCGTCTCCTGGACCCGTCCTCTGTGTTCCATCCTACATCCTTCAATCTTTGCTCTCCAAGCTCAGCGACGCTGTCAGGCAGCTATCAGGCATCTCTGCCTCATCACCGCCGTGCCGAGTTCCGAATATCTGCTCACTTTCCAGGCTCTTGCGTCACCTTATCGCATCATTTGTGAGTCACAGAGCAGCGGTGAGGCCATAAGTCGCTTCCTGACGGCCAAAGATGTGAGCTTCTGGCCGGATATATGGACTTTTGGCAAGGACGAGAACGCATGGTCCGAGCGCCTTGCATATTTCACTTCGATTCTTCGTTCTCAATGGCTGCCTTGCTAAACTCAATCGAAGTGATGTCTGATATTTTCTGTCACGGGTGGCCAGAGCTTCGGTCTCGGTTTGCGGAGCAGTATAAGTATTTCTCGATTGTCTGCTTTCAACTTGAACTTCTTTCCTCCACTTCCAACACCAACCAACCAACCAACCAACAACCATAATCACACTCTCTTCCACCCTCAGCCTTCATCAATCTTCATCAACCTTCATCAACCTTCATCAACCTTCATCAACCTTCATCAACCTTCATCAACCTTTATCAACCTTTATCAACCTTCATCAACCTTTATCAACCTTCATCAACCTTCATCAACCTTCATCAACCTTCGTTATGTCTTACCATCAACTATCAACATCATCATTAAGGCAAGTCCATTACCCTCGCTGACCATCATCCGCGCCCCCCTCACTGACTGATTGCAGATCGAGCACATCAACAACAGCTCACCTACACCCACCATAGCTCACACGAGGCGCGAGCACCTTCACTCGCTTACACCAGCACCAACTACCCACACTTTGCTAGGTGAGCATTGCCATCTTTCACCATTTCACTCTTCTCACTGACTTTGACAATTCGCAAGGTTGAGTGGCGGCACCAAAACAACTGGTTTGCTTGCTTCCCTCACTTTCTTGCAGTGTTTCTGACTGCCGCAGCTACTTTGCGAGCGAACCACGTCCGCCACGACCTTCAGCGAAACGCGCCATCACGACAGTTCCACCCACGAGACTCGCCAGTCCAACTCCGAGACCGACCTTGACATTCCGCCACACTCGATCACGCGCCGATTCACGCCTCAAACGACATCCGAAACTCCCACAACAAAACTCAACAAACCACAACTTTCGAACTTCAAACTCCACGACAACGACAACGACCGACAGCAGCGAATGGCAGGGCAGGGCAGGGCAGGTGTACAGGCAGCGAGAAGCACAGATGACTTGGCAATGGCAAGAGCGAGAAATACCCAGCGAGCAGCGAGCAAAGGCATGAAAGCGTGACGGCGTGGTGGTTGGAGGGTGATAAGAGCCAAGGGTGGCACGGCGAGGCCGTTCAAAGAGCAGGGGATGGCACAAGGATACCGACATCTGCGATGGTGTAGAAGTGCCAGGTAGCCTCTCTAGCAGGGTGTTCGAACGTGGCCACATCCTTGGCTTTTGGTATTACACCCACGTACCCGTTCTTGCCTTCAATGGAGATTGCATTCGGCTTCTACCTTCACCAGCATCCGTTCGAAACGTGGGTATATACCCACGCAGTCGTTCCGGTGTATGCGCAGAGAGCTCTGTCCCTCTGGCCGTTGGGTTAAGAGAATGCACTGGGCAGGGCGACGTAGATCCCCGGCCAACGCATGGTAGTGGGTACCTGCTTGGCATGGGTGTCTGAGATTTGGCGACATCTCTGCGACTTCATCACTTCACGACACTTTCGACTTCTTCACGGCTTCAGCATTCGACGACATTGATTCGACTTTGGTAGATTTCATGCTCTCGCTGCTCGCTGGTTTTGGTGGCTTTGATAGGGTACCAATTGACTTGGGGCGATCTTTGTAATTATTAGCTTGGTGGTTCGATGTACCAGGTACTAGAACTAGGTAGTGCTCTCGCAGGTCTTTGGTAATTCAAGAATTTCACAACGAAAGTCAATGAAAGTCATCAATTTGTGCCCGCCCATACTTTGACTCTTCCCTTCTAAATTGTCTTCAACTCACTATTCGACCTCTTCGCCGATTTCTGACCTGATTTAATCAATATTCTTGGCTGGTGTCTTGATTGCAGAGAAGAGGTGAGGTCAAGATCTCGGCTCGGCGGCCCACTTTGCCGACGACGCGACACCCTTTCCCAAGGACATCGAACTTGTTCTCGTCGTTCCATCTCTGCCACGCAGATACAGCATCTCCAGCCGACATGTCAAAGCCGACGCATATAGTCCGGAATGACTCTGAGATGCTCCCATCTTCGCGCTCGTCCTGTCTTTCGTATAGACCTGTCAGCTGCACTGTTCGACGAGACTGGCGGCTTCCTCAACCACATCCCACGACCAACCGCCCTTCGGCTAAACTCGTCGACTTACAACGCTAAGACTCCTTCGGGGCAGAATTACACGTCTGAGTCTGATCGTCTTGGCGGACGATTGCCCATCTGGTTGATCTCGCCTTGGGTTCAGAAGGGCTATGTTGAGCAAAGAGGCACGAATAGCGATGGCTCAACTGCATCGTACTCTGCGAGCTCGATGTTGAGGAGGCTTCGCTACCTTTGGGGTTTTGATCCCATCAACCCAAGGGTAGAAAAAGCAGCGACTTTTGATGCATTGATACAGAAGAATGTGAGGACAGATGCGCCGACGAAGCTGCCGGATGTTGTGAAGTTTACTGATCAGCTCGAATAATACAGGTCTGACATGTTTTATTCGCAGATCCTCGTCCCGGGCAGTCATGGTGTCGCTATGTTCGAATCTGCTCGGCTGGATTCAGCCTCCTCTCTCCGACCTTGCGAAGGCGACTGCCATCTGCGACTCTGCGTCCAAGAGCCTTGCAGCCGCTGACACTTGGGTATGTGGCTCTCGACCAGTATTTTGCTTCGGAATTGGCCAGGAGCTCATGTCTCTGCGATAAGGACTGGTTCTCCGTCATTCAGAGACCATTCCTTGACAGCAAGCCTACTGATCGTCTCATCATTCCGTTGTCTGCACCTAATGCGTGTTTCTAACTTGAGGAGAGCCGACGCTTTCCCAAGTCTTCTATACGTGCACCTTGATGAGGAAAGATGGAGACATAGAGTGCTTCGGGAAACTTGGCGGTCTCGAAAGCGCACACCCGCGTGACTGATTTCAGAGCTGAGCCATGCCCGTTCTTCCATGCGACTCGAGAAAGGAAATCTACTGCTCGAGACTTTGAGCTGAAGCGAAATTTGGCGCTGCTGTAGAAAATCTTCAGCCCTTCTGCATATGTTTGCTTGCAGGCTAGTAACAATCCTGGTGCCGCCTACATCGCAGAATTATGAGAGTCAGCTTACGCGGATTTCTATTGCATCGAATGGGCCATCACGCAAAAGACTGCTGCTCTTTGCTTACTATAAGACACCGCTTGCCCTTTTCGTATTGAGTATATTCGCATTTGATGTCGAATGCGATTTCGTAGATTCGATTGCGCAGCTCAGCAGGTAGACCCATGGTGGGCGCTTTTTGCGGTCCATTGGCAGCGCCACAAGGCTCGATGCCTCGCTCCTGCGTGTACCCACGAATATGTTTTGAATGCGGCTGATGGTGGTGCGTGATGTCGTGCGCCGCTGAGGTGGAGTCGAGGTCAAGGTTCACATCGAGAAACCCAAGCCTACCCGCCTACTACCTCATTGCCTGTACCGGTGCATATCCTGTTCTATACCGCTCGCAAATAATAATCCGATCCCGCGGCTAACTCTCGTATTCTCGGTAGATTTTCGGACTCTCGAAGCCTCTATACACTAGAGAATAGCGACGACGATATGTCTTTATTCTAGATATCGCCGAGACTACGAATATAAGACTGGACTTCTACAGGTAATATTTGGCTTCGAGGAGGCGCAAACCTCTTCTCGTAGATTCTCGACGGCGTGTCATTCGACATCTTCAGCTTGTGACAGTCTCCACGCAGGCTGCCGGTCTTGCACGCGAGCCAGGAGCGCCGTGTGACGATGCCACAAACATCGATCATGCATAAGAGCGATTCTCTTGTCGGTCCTTTATAGGAAAGCCCCATGATCGACTTCCGCCCAAGTGCCAGGCTGCAACCACCTAGTATCCACACTGACTAGCACGCATACCTAACCCAACTGGTCTGATTGATCTTCAATGTCCGGAAAGATGGCTTGCAACTCGTTCAAGACACGGCGAGCTGTGATATTACTGTCAGTCATCCTGGTGTTCAACATCCTCTTCCTAGTCACACTGGTACCTCGCCCACATGACATACCTCATGGGCATGTTGCACAGCGCGACACAGATCTCTTGACAAGCTTTGATGCCGAGACATCACGGAACCAAACACTACTTTCTCGAGGCAACAGCAAGGACGACCAATGGATTGAGCCAATGTATCTGTTGGTTCCAGAGGAGAAGATCAATGCTTTGCCAGACTATGATGAGGAGGATCCCAACAAGAAGCGAAAGATCCTAGCTGCTAGAAAGGGGTTTCGGCTCCTTTGCAATATGAGAAGCCCGGCAGAGACTATTCCGACAGATACAAGCTTCAAGCCTCGGGAGGGGAAGAGTGCGAAGGATATTCGTGTCGACTATGGATGGTCAAATAGGCTGGGAAAGCCCGGGTTCAGTGACTCCGCAATAGTTGTAAAGCTCGGCAAAGCATTGAGTGATCTCAAGCTGAGCAAGGACCCAGCTGACTGGATCGTGAGCGGCATGGATCACAAAGCCACCTCCAAAGGACCAGATGGTCAAGGAAGCTATCCAGTAACTAAGGGTTCCTACGAGAATCTTTTCGACCTTGCCAACGGCGGCCTTATCGCTGCCTACAACTACAGTCCGGAGGAAATGGCTTCGAAGCTGGGCCTACAAGTTCCGGCCAGTCGGCTAGTGCCCTTCCGAAAATGGAGTGATGTGGTCTGGGTCGGCAGGGAAGAAGCAAGCGCCAAGTATAAAGAAGACAATGCTGGCGATGGCAACGCCGTCAAGAATTTGGAGCACGTCTTCCAGTACAACATTGTCACTGAAAGCACGGAGGATATATTGCGGATGGTCACCGGTCAAAGAGACCCGAAGGCGGTCGGAGTCGTAAGTGTTGTGATTCGCAAGCCTGGAGATTCCTCTGTGCTAAGTGATTGCGAATAGTGGCCAGGCGTATCCTACCCAATCGAGGAGCCGCAGGGACTTGCTGTGCTGGGTACAGTGCATGGAGCCGGTGTTGCTTGGATGCTTTCCCAGCACAAGGAAGCCATGGGTGTTCGTGCGATCGATCGTATCAACGTTTTCAACTGCGACCCAGGCGCCCCATGCTGGTGCATCTACCTGCACATCTCCGACGTTGCAACAGCGTCATAAGAAGATCTTTGGGACCATAGCGACACCCGAGCAAGTAACACGAATGGCGGGAGCCAAGAGATCTTTCCGACTCTGTTTGATCCCGAGCACCTTGAAGAGAAGAGCGACGTCATCCACAATGGCGGGGATTCGATGCATTGCGATATCCTCCATCTTACTGACAGGACAATCTTCTTGTTCGGCTGCTCCATGTTGGGCGGACTTCTATTTGCTCCTGCAAGAGCAACGCGATCTCCTGGTGGCCCTAGCCAGTGCAATGGCAGCCCCTCCCAGATCAATTTTTGGAGGAGGATCCTAGAATTGATTTGAGCGTAGCATATCGGGAAACCGTTTGGGAGGCGGCCGGAATTGTAACTGTATCTGCGGTTGGAGGTAGAGATTGGTTGTATCAAAGGTTCACCTTATCATGGTTTCGCTGAAACATATACTGCTTGGCTCTTGTAAATGCGCTTGCCTACGCTCCTCAACCTGCGTTTGTGATGTGAATTCTGAGACGAGCATGTGTGGTTGTTGATGAAGAGCTCAGAGTAGTGCAAGGAGACTTCCTTCGGAAATGATGTCGGCATTGCCGGATTGGGACAAGCGTTGTTTGCAAACATCCACCTCAGGCCTGCAACTTGGCGTCTACAATATCAGCCGTTCAGGCACAGTGTACATGCGTACTCCTACTGTACGAGCTGAATTTTCGACGAAATGCATCTCATCCTCCCCAAAACGGCGCTGTTGCGAGGATTGTCGCGGTCAACCCCCATCGGGCTGATTCGTCAATCTCCAAGGAACTTCTCAAATGGCAATCAGGAACGGCCCAGTCACACTCCAGACTCGGTCAAAGGCGACGCGCCAAAGAAGCGGGCGGCGTCTCTATGGACAGTCGAGGACATTCGAAAGCTTGCAGAAATGACCCTGTCCGGGCACTCGACACAGGCTATCGCAGATACTCTGGGACGTTCGTACAGGGCCGTGACCTCGAGGCGCCAGGTTTCCAAGGCCGATCCCAAGTCCATTGCCGGCAATTCTCGAGAGCGTCCTGAGAGGGTCCCCCGCCTTTGGACTATTGATGAGGACGACAAGCTTGCGTCGATGTGCATGCAGCGGAGACCTTGGCAAGAGATAGTCGCCGCATTTGCTCCAAGGTCGCCTCATTCGGTGCAGGCTCGCTGGTTTACGCATATCCGCCCTTTCCTTGTGACTGGAAGGAATCCTGGTTCGAGCCACCGCCAACCATGGTCTCGCGAAGAAACTGAAAAAATAGTGCATTATCGTCGGGACCTGGGTCTTACGTGGCCAAAAATATACGAAGCACTACCTCATAGAGGACGCGATGCCATTAGAAAAAAGTACTACCGCTTGATATCCTCGGCAAATGTCCCAGATTGATGATAATGCGGCTGTCTTCAGCCATGACATCTTTGTGCAATACCGGCAGTTCAACAAGCGACTACGAAGGCCGCATACTTTTACTCAAAAGCCAAAATTATGACTTCCTGGCTGCGGGAGTCTTCGACTGCCTATGGACATATTCCAGGTGGACACCCTAAGATACTACAAACATTCAACTGGCCAGCGTTGACCAGCAGCATGCTCGGATGGATCACCCAGTATACTATGATGCTTCTAAACCGAGGGAACTATGTGCAATACATCCAGTGGCAATGGAGGTAATTACGCCCTCATAATTTGCAACAGTGAAGCACGCTGTATGCACGATATCACACCCGCACGAACGGCTCCATGACTTGGTCCGTATAATTGCAACCGTCTGCGGCATCGATGAAGACCTACTCTGGCAGCGAAGATCGCAATTCATCATTGCTGGGCACATCGCTGCAATCTGAGCACAGTCAAAAACCCGGCAGAAGCAAAGACATATTCGAAGCGGCAAACCGACATCCGGAAACCGGCCAGCCATTGCAGAAGAAGACAGGCGCTGCACAAAAGATCCTCGAATCTGCTGCTTTCAAGAAAATCGATGAGCATGTGCCCAGTATACGTAAAGTTCTGCGCCATATCAACGTCACATTACCTTCTGCACATGAGCGCCTCGAAGCCAGCCCCAATGATCACACGCTATCGAACAAACACCCAAGCTCATCGCAGCAAAACGAGTCCCAAGTAAAACGCATCCACCTTCCACGAATCACACCCCCATCCGGCCCCATCCCAAACAGCAAAGTATCCCCTCGCCCCTCAACCTCCAGCAACCGCAACCGCAACCGCAATCTCGACCTCTACTTCCTCACCCCCCTCGAACGCGAAGTCCACGACATCCTCCACCGCACGGGCCGCGTAGCAATCTACAAAGGCCTCCTCTGCCACCCCACCACCATCCTCCTCTGCCACCCCTCCGACGTCCCTTCCCTCCAAAAAATCCGGAGCATGACCCAAAGAATGGAATCAGAAGATCGCCATAAACTCGCCACGACTTTGGAAACGCTGATTGATCAGAAACAGAGATACATCCTCAATCTTCTGCTCTGGGAGCGTGAGGGTTTGAGGATTACGAGTAGTTCGATCGGCACGGGGATCGAGAGTCCAGAGTATGTGAAGTCTTCGGTGAGGAAGAATTGGAGGAGACCGACGAGTTTTGAGATTTTGGGGGCGGGGTTGACGGGGGTTAGGGAGAGTTGGATTCAGAAAATAAAAGGAGAGGATGATGGGGAGGAGGGTGGGAGGAAGGGGGTTGAGGTCAAGCCGTTTACGATTTTCGAGGTGAAAGGGCATGAGGGAGAAGAGGTGCCCAGACTCAAAGGTCTTCGGGGAGGAGGCGATGACGGGAATGAAAGGTTGAAGATCCCTGGTTCTCGCAGCGCGAAGGCGTATGTCAGATTAGCTTTGGGATCGACGAGTCGGGAAGAGAAATTGGGAGATGAAGAACGTGTACCTAGGATTATGTGGTGGCTTGCTGGAGGTAAATAGTCTTTTTCTTGTTTTTGTTTCGCGAAACTGACATGCTGCTAATATTTTCAAGGTCGTGTAAGTCTTAAGAAGAAAGCGCCGACGGCTGGGGAATTGAGAAGACGGCGGAAAGCTGAGGTTGAGAATCGGAAGGAAGTAGGGCTTTTGGGGACTTTGCTTGGTGTTAGGGAGAGGACGGGTGAGGCCGCGGCAGTGGAAGATTCTGGTGATGAAGCTGCTGAGGAGATCGGTCAAGTCGAAGAAGTCATTTCGAAAGAGTCTAAAGCTAAAGATGGTGCTGATGAGTCCAGCAGTCAGGCTGAAGGAAACACTTCGGAGGCACCTCAAGCCAAGAGCACCGAAGACACCTCAGGAGAGGAAATTTCAAAGGCAGCTGAGCCAGCTGTGAAGACCTAGCAGCGACTCACCATTATCCAGCAGTCCCACACTCCATGATCAAGCACACCTTCACCTCCATTCAAAGCTCCCATCACCAATTCCCATCTTCCCCTTCCCATAGCCCCTCACCTGCTCCTCATCACAATGCAACCCAACAGCATCCATAGCCGCAACCAAGCCCTCAACCTCTTCCTTCCCAACATAACCCTCCCCAATCAAAACCTTCACATCCTCCAAAACCTTCAACAAACCCTTCAATTCCTCCAATCTCGCATCCTCCAACTCCACGACTTCCTTCTCCATCGCCACAACCTCATTTTTCGCTTTCTTGTTTTTCAACAAGGTTTTTTCATACCAACCTTCCAATTCGACCTGGGTGTCTTCGTCTTTTAGACTTTCGAGGAGGGTGGTGAGGTGGTCGGAGAGTTGGAATTCGGGAGGCGTGTTGTAGGCTGAAGCGAGGGCTTTGTGGCGGAGAGGTAAAGTTTCGAGGATGTGGCGGAGAGCGTGGATTTTGGTTTTCGCTGAAGTGGTGGTGGTGGTGGTGGTGGTGGTGGTGTTGTCGTCGGGTGTGTTGAGGATTTCTGTGTAGGAGAGTTTTTCGTCTGAGCGGACTTCGCGGAGGTAGGAGAGCCAGTATTCGAGTTCGGATTTGATGAGGTTTTCGAGAGGTGTGAGGTCGAAGGTTTGTTTTGATGAGACTGAGCTTGTGGGCTGCGTCATATCTGCTGTTGTTCTTGGTATGCTCATTTGTGTGCGCGGCGGTGTTGGTGGATTTATGTCAATTGTCGGTGTTGAGGTGGATAGATTAGACAGACTGCGCGCTGTGGTGTTTTAGAAATGAAGTCACTGGAAGTGAGGTTGTTTGTCACATGCAAGAGTCAAAGAGGTGCACCTGGAAAGAGTCCGTGCTCGAGACGTCATGCACCTTCCGCGCCTTCGATTCAGGTATTGTTCCGTGAGAATGCGTATCCTGCGAGAAGGTTCTTCTCCTACTTGAGGCCGATCTGAGATCGTAGGTGGGTGCCTTTGGAGTACTCGATGAATACAACGCGCATCCGATTCCCGGTTATCTTCATTCGTCCTCACTTTCGCTATCACTCATCCAACCCTCTTCGTACTCATCCGCCATAGCTGCTAGTCCATCACATAGAGCCTCGCGTTCATCAACACCAACCATACGCCGGGCAATGCTTTCCACGCTTCGCAGTCGTTGGGCTATATCAGAATGAGTCGATAGCGAGGCATCTATAGCAAGAGTAGTAGACTGCGGTTCAAATCTGAAAATCCGTGGGTAGGATGTGAGCACTGAGAAAGACAAATCAGATCTGTACGAGGAGGTCCTCGGTCCATCTGAGAAGCGAGCGCGATCTCGGTCATCGTGCGCGTCAAGTTCTGATTGGTGTCCATATTTGTCCCGGATGGACGAGATCTTGCTGAACAGCTGTGGCCGCCGTTGGTGTTGCCGCCGAGAAGCAGCCGATGTGACTGCAAACTGAGGGAACATGTCAATATCTGCCTTGGCCTCTTCATCTTCTCGTTCATCGTCATGTACCAAGCCATTGGTCATTCGCGAATCCGAGGTTGCATTAGTCGGGACGTCTTCGTGATCCCGTCTCTCTGCCGAGACAGAAACTTGACATGCAGCTATGCGCCGGTTACCCTCACCGTTCAATACCGACTCCAGATTATCAAAGGTAGCTCGAGCGCTGTTAGCGGTGCGGAGCCTAGTCGGTAGTGTCATCGACTCAATTGCCGCAGCTTGTAGCGCAGCAGTGCACCAACGACCCGCGTCGCCCAGCAACGTATACGCAGGAAGGCTCGCCGGGACGCTAGCCATTGGAACATGCAAGCTGGCCGATGAATTGAGTGCATACAGTGACTGCGCGGTGTTGGCCAATTGAAGAAGTTGCCGGTCTCTGGTTGCCCGCTGGGTGTCTTGCAAGCCGAAGACCCAGCGGCAGCCTTTGCCCAGCTCATCGGCTACACGTTCGAGATAGCGTGAAGCAAATCCGCCCCAGGCATCATCCGTGCCCGAGAAGATCTGAATAGCCTGCAGCTGATCGCACTCTTCGAGAAATGGTCTCAGGTCACGGTCAAGCAAATCATGCTCTCGGTCAAGGTTTGCGAAAAGCTCCTCTCCCTTCGACCATTGCTCGAATGGCATCAGAGAGCTGTTCAGTTCGTATTCGTTCAGCTGAACAATGCTCTTCGGATGATAGAAGACGTGGTTGTAGTCAGACCAGAATCGAACAGTGTCTGAAGTTAATCGGGGAAGATCAGTTCCGGCGTCGAGTGCTTGCTGATATGCACTTGGCGCGATTGGTGGCAGTCGTAGAGGTATGGCATTGCTAGCCCACGGATTTTGCTGTGCAGGACTCAGCTGATTCTGCAGCTCGTATAGAGCATTCTCGCGCCGCAATGTGCCAAAGGCACCCTTGAGGTCGTAGATCACGGTTCGTGGTGTGTATGTGTCCGAGCCATCGGCCCCAATACCGGGCCGGAAGGAGAGGTCGTGGTCGACTGGGGACTCTTCCTGCCCTGCATATGTGAAGTATGCTTCCTAGAAACCAGGTCAGGACTCGTTGATGAGAGGAACATGACAGACCGCTGCACCTGCCCACCTGTGTGTTCCAATAATGCGTGGCAAGATAATTGGCTTGGTTCCCGAACTGCAATGTGACAATCTCATGCATGATGTTGAGTGGCTATATTGGCCCAGTGTGGAGAACGAAGTGCAAGAAAAGGGCGAGAACATGTTGGAGGTCGAGTGTTAGGCCTCGTATCATGGAGAAGCATATTAGTAAGCTTTTTTTCGGCAAGCCGAAGCCGATCGGTCGCGTGAACCGTGATCGACACTGCCGACGGCCCGCTGTTGTCTGGTGCAGAATACCACTCAAACCTCATTGTTCAGCAACACCCACTGTCGGCGCACGAGAGACATATTCCTAGATGCTGAGTCAGACGCGCAGTCTTTGAGAGCACGCAGTGGACCACATCGCCCCCTTTGCAGACTGCACCAGCCGAGCGCATCCTCGCGCGACTCCACGACACGGGCAACTGCCTTTAATTTCGACCTCCGACTGAATCGCGAACCGAAGACTGGCGCATAGCAATCATTGATATAGCTCTCCGCTATGGCCACCGCGGCTGTCGTGCGTCCGGGTCAAGCGCGCACGTCACAGCGTCGCGATGGCCTCAAATCGAATATTGCATCACTGAAGCGGGCGAACATGAATGGCACTGGCACTGCCGCTGCGGTAGAAGATGGGAGCGAGCCCGCCAGCAAGAGGCAGAGGACAGATCGAGCCCCGGCGCCGGCGCCAGCAGTGCGGACGCGCGACTGGATCCTCAAGCAGCACGCCGGCAAACCACCGTCCATGATACTACACCTCCACCCCACCTACTTCCGCTTCGACACGCAGGAGGGCAGCTATGCCTACGATGGGCCCATGAAGTTCATCATCGAGGCTTTAAAGAAGCAGCGTATACCGCACGAAATGCTGGACGAGATCCATGCCAACAATGTGCCCTTCTACCATGGCTGTCTGATCATCGAAGTACATAATCACCGCACGGCAAGTGCAAAGGACAAAGGCAGGAACGATTCGCCCGCCGATGGAGGCCCAGGCCGCTACTCGATGCATGTCTACAACAATTACATAACACCCTCGGGTTTTGCGCCATATCCCAAGAAGGCCAAGGAAGAACAGCCGGGCGCCGACGTCGACGCTGACCAAGAGACGAAGAAGGGAGCAGAGAAGAGTGCTAGCAAGGAGAAGAATGGACCTCAAATTGCCAGCGTGGTACTGTTCCCCACAGAACTGTCCATGCACTACGACATGATGATTTTGGCAAGAACACCAGCATCAGATCTTACAAGAAGCAAGAAGAAGGGAGCTGATGGCGCGCAACCCCCCACTCCCTCGCTCGCTGTCCCACCTACACCCATTGGAGGTGCAGTGAAAGGAGACGGCAAGATGTGTCTAGAAGAGAAGGACTTCTACCAGTGGCAGGCGGATGTTCTGGTCGAGACTGAGCGCAACCTCATGCTCGGGCCTGTCGACGGGCCCGAAACAGCTCACAAAGTCTTGGACGCGTTGGCCCACCCTCTACATCAAGACATGCCACCGCCGGTCAAGACTCGTAAGAGAACTACAGCAGAGATGGCTGCAGATGATGAGAAGGCTGCCGAGGCGGAGCGTAGAATGCTCATTATGGACGAGCGCATCAAGCCTTCCTCTGGCCCTGGCGCAGCCGCAAGCGAGAATGCAGGCGCAGCGGCTGCGCTCGGCTTCGGTAGATTCAAGACGATCCAGATGGTGCGAGAAAAGCATGAGGAGCAAGAGCGCCAGAAGAAGGAAGAAGAGGCTCAAGTTGTTCTGCAACGTCGTCAGCAAGAAGAGCAAGCCAACGCCCAGGCTGCCCAAGCACGAGCCCAAGAAGCGAAGCAACGGCAAATCATGGCGCAGCGACAGAACATGGCCAGACAACAGCACGAGCAGCAACGAATACAAGCCGCTCAACTCCAGGCGCAGCAGGCCACACTCTTAGCCCAGAATCATGCTCATCCTCAGCCGAATAACATGATGATGAATCAGCAAAACAACTTCCAGCACCCAGCATCAATGGCACAATCAAGTCCCGTCGTTCGCCAGCAGACTCCATCAATGATGAACTCCTCGCCGATGCTGGCGCAGGGTGGCTTCCCCATGGCTGCCACAACCAGTCAAGGAGCCGGCAGCCCACAACGGCCCGCTTCAGCAACCATACAGAACCCAAATGTTGCCAATGCGATGGCTCGACAGGTCAGTCAGCAGCAGCACCCAAGCCGAAACGCGACTCCACAAATGCCGCAAGCTACGCCGCACATGCAAAATGCAGGACACACTAGGCAAATGTCGCAAACACCGCGCATGCCTCAAGCAAGTCCGGTACCTGGCACGCCTGCAGCGGCCATGGCTCTGGCGACTCCGCAAGTGGGTAATGGCATGACGCCCGAGCAGCTTGCAATGCTGCAGGCACAGCAAAGGATGCAAGCCGCGCAAAATGGCATGTCGCCTGGGCAGCATAATCCAAATCAGATGTCTGCTATGACACCCGAACAGATTCAAAATATTCGCCAACATCACTTGCGTCAACAACAACAACAGCAGTTCATGGCCCAGGCTCAAGGCAACCCGCAGATAGCAGCAGCACTTGCTCAGCGTCAAGCTATGATGATGAGACAACAGCAACAGCAGGTCGCCGCACAGCAAAGACTCATGCAAGCACAGCAACAGCAAGCTTCGCACGCCGGCAGTCCTCATCCCGGAATGCAGGGCACTCCACAGATGAATCATGGACATCCTCAAGGTGGCGATAGCGGTCATCAAATGACCCCTCAGCAACAAGCCGCACGACAACAAATGCAGCAGCAGCAAATGCGACAAGCTCAACTACAACTCGGTCAGCTCTCACAGCAGTATGGAGGCTTGGGCAATGTTCCTCAGCAAATGATTTCAAGTCTCCCTCCAGCAGTTCAGATGCTCTTCCGCCAACAAATGCAACGAAGCCAAGCTGTACGCGCCCAACAAATGGCCGCTCGAGCCCAGCAAGCTCAACATCAGGGCCAGACCGTGGCTGGCACATCTACCAGCGATCCCGAATTCATGCAAACTATACGTGCACATCAAGCTATGCTCGCTCAGCAGCAGCAACAGCAGCAACAGCAGCAGCAGCAAAGTAATATGAATATGAGTAATGGAATGGGAGGCATGAGTATGGCTGGAAACATGCAGTTTGCTGGCCAAAACCAGGGTGGCGATTTAACTGTGCAGTTTCAAGCTATGCAGAGGGCTTTGCAGAATCAGAATAATCAGCAGGCTGGAGGGATGCAGTAAGTTAGGACAGACAGTAGCTGTAGTAATGTCGAAGTAGCCCTCATCGTCAGTAGGGATTGAAAGGCTCGCTAGCTTGACATCATCAAAATGTCGCTTTTGATGCAATTCCCACGAGGATATTCATTCATTCTTTCCGTTTCCTTTCGAAAAAATCCAAAGTGTCCTGCAGGACATTACGACACTCCACGATTCTTTCTTTACATCATCCTCCTCAAGCAAGAACTCGCCATTCCCCTATAAATGCCCTCCCTCCCTCAAATCCATACCACGCATTGATTCATTTATTCTTCTTCTCATCAGTTGTACGACATATCATGAATACGACAGTCAGTCAAATTTCTCACCTCTCATGAAGCTTCCTTCTCAGGCGGTTCCACCTCTCTCTCGTCTATAAGTGCTACAGTACTCCGATCTGATCCGATCTGATTAACGCCTTCTCGAACTGCAGTAGATACTGTAGAAACTTGCTCCTAGGAGATGGGGGGGGGGGGTAAGGTGTTTTTACAAAAGAGGACGTGGACAAGCATCGACTTGATGGTGGGTGGGAAAAAATTGGAAAAAGAGGTTCGGCACAGCACAGCACAGCGCGGATTGGTCTTGTCTTCTTCTTCTCTTCACATTATGTCATTAAGATCCATCTCATCCAGTCCAAATTCATTCGTTCGTTTTCCCTCTCCTCTCCTTCATCGTCTGTCCGTCCGTCTGTCTCTTGACGTGACTCGTACCCGTTCGTTCATCTATACCATGCCCTTCCCACTCGTACATCCCATGCATGATCTGTTCTCTTCGTATGTCATTTCCCAGCCGTTTCATTTCATACGTTAAGTTTTTAAAAAAAAAACTCCAAAAAAGCGCCATCGCTCAAAATACCATGTCAAAAAAAAAAAAAAGTCTCGTGTCCTGCTACACCTCCTCATCCCGCTCTAACACGATCGATACCAAAACAATCCCTTCCATCTCTTCCAGGGAATCTCGAAAATGCATATCGTGAGGGTCCGCCACCGATTGGAGCGTCAACAGCGACTGGGACGGGCTGACTCTGAGCTGCGACTCTTGCTCGTCCGTATCCGCGGACACTGTCTGCCAAGGAGACCTTGCTTTCGGTGGGTGGAAGGCCGCCTGAGGCGAGTGGTGCATAATAGCCAGAATTATCACCTCGCTCATGCCTCGCTGATGATGAAGATAGGAGTCGTGTGACGAGATCGATCTTGCTGACTGGGTTGCGGAAAGCGAAGTCGTCGAGAAGTCGAGATTGGTAGACGCAGTCTCGGATGCCGGCGAAGCTGTTGAGATGAGGTGGAAGTGCGGCGTGGCGGAGGGTGGAGCTTGGGATGATGGCGAGGTAGGCTAGTGCGTTGATTGTTAGGAAAGCGGAGAGGGCGTAATATGCTGGCATATGTGCGTAGATCTTGACTCGTTGCGTTGGGATGTCGAATTGTGCCCAGAAGATACCTGTCGCCAGGATCGGAATTGCCATGTTGAGGAGTGCAACAGCGCTGATGAAGGCGACGCGCCAGTGAGAGTTGAAGGCCGCTGCGAGGGTTGCTACAACGGGCAGGTCGGCGGCGTAGCTTGGAAGGAGGGTGCGTTCTGCCACATCTCCAGTCAGATCATCGGTCCAGGATTTGCTTTTGCGGGCATGTGCGGCGTTGACGCCAGTCAGGCTCTCGAATGGTGCAAGTCTGCGGTGTGCGAGATCGATGTCGATCCAGAAGAGGAATACAAGCAGAGCGATGACACCTGGTACGACGGAGTAGAGGAAGTTGGTTCCACTGAAGCCAAGATCGGCAACTGCTGCTGGCACTTGAGGATCGAAGCCACCGCTGACTGCCGTTGAGGGGAGGTAAGAGACGATGAGAAATGCCAGGACCAGTACGATAGCGATGATCGGCCAGAGAATAGCAAAGCTGAGCGTGAGGAACCATGGCATAGCAGAGCTGCGGTGCTCTTCTCGCGATTCGATCTCGGTCTCGTCGGTGCTGCGACGGAGCATCGCCTCCTTGGAGTGGCGTGGGATCTGGGGTGAAGGGGCTGACTCGAGATCAGTGCCTTGGTCAGAGTAGTGCTTCTCACGAATGCGACCATCTTCTACTCCGTATTGACGAGCTGGCTTGTCAGCAATACCGTAGGCGTGGAAGACCTCGGTTGGTCGATGAGCAGAACGCCAGTATCCGACTTGTGGCGCAGTCTCGCCTTCACCATCGAGTGCATTGCTGCGTTCGAGAAGGACTATCATATCTGCAAGACTGCGAGGGTCCCATTTCAGGCCGGTCTCTGCGCGGCGCAGATAGATCATCAGCACAAGAAGCGCCAAGATCTGGAGCATGTAAAGTCCGACTACGGCCCAGATCGCACCTTGTGTCGCAATCCAGTGCCAGACATGGTTGTTGTCTTGGTGAACATTGAAGCTGCTGCCGAGGAGAGGAATTGTCCAGATCTGCAACCAGGCAATGAACACGAAAAGACCAATCATTGGTAACCTCGCACCGAAGTGACCAAAGTAGGGCAGCACAAATCCCCGTGGCACTAACGGCAGCTTTGCGCCTGCAAGTCTGCTCGGTGGCGGCGAACCAGGACCCATGGCAATGAACGGTGCAATGCGGTAGACTGCAATCACAATCTGGAACAGCCAGACCAGAAGAATCATGCCGAGGATGGTTGGCAGGTATTGGAAGACGAAGTATCGCGCATCGCCAAAGCTTGCATATGCCCACAACCCCGTCTTGACTCTGCTCCAGATTGCGGTGAAGATGAGACAGATGAGGAAGAGTGTAACAAGTAGAGCATAGCCAGCGAGGGCTAGGGGTCTGACGATACCAGGCACGAAGTTGAGCGGTGGCTGCCGAGATTCTGCTTGTGACACTGGCATGAAAACATCAGGTCCAGCAGGTCTTGTTTGTCGTGAACCAGGCTGGCTGGGCCGCTGAGGGTTGCGAACATCGATATTGTCATACGGTTGCTGCTGGATCTCCTCCCGCTTCTCCTCTTGCGGCACTTCCTCATATCGGTGTCGCTGTTGAAGGGGCATGGGAGCTGTGACATTCGCTGGAACATGCGCTTGTCGAGAAGCGTCGTAAGGGTAGGCTCCATTGACGCCAGGCGCGGTGTCTGCATATCGCCGACTGCCTCGCACTTCCTCATCTCTTGTCAACTGGTCGAGGGCGAAGTGGATGTACGGTGTATCGTCGACGCCGGGTGTTGGTGCATCGCTTTCGCGATCGATCTGCTGAGCCGTTGAGCTCTGAGCAAGCGTGGGTGATATCCTGTTCGCTGTTCGTGGCGGAGAGCCATGTTCCATGACCACACTGGGTATTGGCTTTCTTCGAAGTCCGCCTTCTCTTAGCTGAGTCTGGGCGTTGGGAGGGGCAGAAGACGAGGCGCCAACCAGAGGGACGACAGCACCAATGGCTTCGTCACTGCTGAGGCGTCGCTTGCCTTCACCTCTCATCGGAGTCTTTCTGTGCTGTGCCTCCTCCCCCTCGGGCTCGCCACCATTGCGTCCCTGAATCGTCTGAGCCAATGCCGTGGAGCTTTGTTGCGGAGTTCGATATCGACTGGGTGGGGTTTGGAAGCGAGTGATGGTATGTTGCGATCGACCAGCAGCTCCGAGGATGTCGTTGGAGTGAGTGGACGAGTTGGAGCCAGAGAGTGAGTAGTAATCTTCGGAGGCAGTGACAGACTGGAGTGAGGGTCGGTGGTGGACGACTACGCTCGGGTTGGAGACTGTAGACGGATATACGGTTAGCATGCAGGCTGCAACATGGGTGTGCCCTGGTGGAACATACCATTAGTCTGCCTCAGAACGAAAGCATCGTCTGGTTGTTGGCGTGTAGGCGTGAGTGAGCTCGACATTAATATTGAGCGGTGGTCAGACCGACAGGCGGCAGACTATAGAGACAGTGGACTCTGCATGATCGGATGATATCACAGCAAGAACAATCGATTGTCGACACACGTGCGATAAGAGGAATGCGAACGGTGGTTCGGGATGCTCGGACACAGTGCATTTAACGTGCGGTACCTGATGTGCATACAGCTACAGAAAACAGATGGGCTGGTGGGAGGCTAGGAGGGGCTGGGAAGACCACTCCAGCTGCTCTGATTCGCTGTTCCGCGGCAGAGAGCGCCATTATGCTGGGCGCGAGCACGAGAGGGACGAGCATGATCAATACAGCGTGTGTGTGTTGTGTTTGTGATGCGTCATGTGTTGTCGCTGTGCTGTGTGATGTGGAGAGAGAGAGAGAGAGAGAGAGGCCTGCCCAGCCATCGCCATTCCCTTCCCCGACAACCTCAGGCAAACACGGCCACTCCCGCTCCGCTCCGCTCTTCTTCGTCTTGGCATCGAGCTCCGTGACTTCAAGCGTTGACGGCGCCATCACATCACACACCATCACCCTCCACCATCCTCTCCACACCTCGCCAAAATGCCTGGACTGCTCGGAAAGAAGTTCCCCACGCCAATTGGTGAGTCTACGATGCGCGCATGGTGTGCGCGCGCCTGCGCGGCAGCCATGGAGATCTTCGGGAAGAGGAGAAGAGCTAACAACCTGCGTCACAGCGAAGCCAATGTGGCCATTCTTCGCTGCCAGTAAGTCCTACGATGCGACAATCTCGCGAGATGCAACAAAATCCCGAGCACAAGCGTTGAGCGGGAAGAGAAAAGAAAGATGCGGGCGGAACAAAACAAGCTGACATGGACGTTCCCCAGCCCTCATCGTCGCATATGGCATTAATTCCTTCGCAGATGTGCTCGCAAACTGTACGTGAAATTTCCCCCGACACCTTTTCTCCCCAATTTTAACGTGGAAATAGCCGATGAGTACAAGAACGACCCAAGGAACCCAAAGAACAAGATCCCCAAGCCGGCGCATTAGAAGGATGTGAATTCGGAGAGGATAGCATGCATAGAACGGATGCTGGACGTGGAAGTTTGAGACACGGCAGCTGCGTGGAAAGAGCTCAGATGCAGAAGCTACTACTGTACATATACACCACCGAGTGAATCTCATCTGTTGCTCGCACCGCTCTCTTCTCCTTCCATTGTCCTAGGAGTGCGTGCATATTGCCGTGGGGCATTGTCTTGCGGCGACACAGCAGGATGAAATTTAGCCACTCGATCGTCGGACCCAGAACTACAACGAGAAAGACTTCCAGATCCTCTCTCCGTTCAAATTTCGAAATTTAGTGAACGCTGAGAATGCAAGACGACGAGCATTTGAAACGAACATGTCTCAAAAATTTGCGGGAGTACTAGCACTGAAACACATATACAAGACCAAGATCACAGATACACAGCAATACAATTCCATTTATCTTCATACACACATGCTAGACTCGTATATCCATAAATCGGAAAGAATTGAGTCAACGCCATCGTATCTCGTAATAGATTCTGTCGGATAGGCGGTAAGCAGATAGATATATTCTGACATCAGATTTGAGCTCAAAGCTGAACTTTAGAAAACATAGCCTTTGCCTTATTCATCGTCACCACCAAAGAGAGCTCCAAGCCCCATTCGATCTCGCAGTCTCGTAGTCCTACTCGTCCTCGCAGCATTCTGATTCTGCGAATGGTAGTATCTGACATCATGCTGCAGCTGAGCATTGACTCTAGCGCCCATAGGTGCAGCACCAAGCGAAGTGGCCTTGTTGAAAGCCTCTCCGGTATCATCAGGCTCACCGACTTCATCTCCGTCGACGCCATCGTTCCAGCTGTGAACAGTACATGTGCCGAGACCGTGATCCCAGCCATTCCAGCTCGTGGCCGCAATGACCGGAGCGCTCGGATGCCAGGAGCAGTCTCGGACGATAGTTTTCCAGACGCCGCCTCGGCCGTAATAGTCGTAGCGATCAACGTAGCGCTCGTCGGAGACTGGCCGAGAGTTCTTGGTGGCTGCAAGCACGTTGATGGGTGTGGCGGCTTCGGTGCCGTCGAGATTCCAGACATAAATCTTGCCATCGTGTGAGCCAGAATAAATGTATCGTCCATCAGTTGAGCCGGGCGGCGAGAAGTGACATCGAATGAGCGTCTTGAGCACACGATGACCACGGAAGGTGACGATTGAGCAATCGTGAGGGTGTGGTGTGTGGTCGTCGGTATCGTATGGGCTGAAGCGGTAATCGAAGTTGGTGGTGTAGTCTTGCGGGTTGATCTTTTCTCCTTGATCCGTGCTCACCATGTTCCGAAGATCCCACAGCTTGCAGGTCTGGTCCTTGCCATTACTGATCACATATCTGCCATCGCCTTTGCTGTCTATGTAGGTCAAGCCTTCAGTGTGGCCCAAGAACATGCCTGCAGGTCGCATGCTGGCCAGTGACCTTCGATCCCAGACCTTGAGAGTGGTGTCATCGGATCCAGAGTAGAGAATGTGCGGACTCATCTTATCTCCGAAACAGACGGCATTGACATCGTCAGTATGCCCAGGTATCCGCAAGATACTTCGTTGCGCTTCCAGATCGTATACGTAAACGCTCTGATCGCTTGTACCAGCGACAATCTCGCCGCCGTCACCACTGAATCGTAAACTCCAGATACCGAAGTGTCCTCGACTGCGGCCCCAGCCACCAGCGCCTCCGAAACCATGCCCTCCTCCGCCAGAATCTGAGAAGTCCAGAAGCCGGGGTTCTGACTCATCGCCTTGTTCTGTATTTGCCAAGCATATCTGGCTTCTGATACTGCTGTACGCGAGAAGCTTGTTGTCTGGTGACAGAGATGCATCTGTGATGGTCCACTGTCCGCCGTAGTAATGTACTGTCTTGTAGTACTTCCAATCGTAAGGATTGCTGGTGTCGTACATTCGCACTTTAAAGTCCTGACCGCATGCGAAGAAGAAGGAGCCGTCTTCCGAGAATTGGCCCGAGTAGCAACGTGCATTGAGATTGATGATCAAGTCTGCCTTTGATCCTGGAATCATATCCTGGGAAGCAAGATTGTTCAAGACCCGCTGTCGTCCCCGATGCTCGAGGCTCATCTCCCGGTCCATCATTCGCCATGCAAGCTTTCGGCGCTTTCGTCTAGTTTCCTGCGCGATGGGCAGACCACAAGCAGTATGCCGACATCGATCGTTGTTGCCAAATGTGCCCTGCTCCATCAACTCCTTTCCTTGTTCTGATGGAATTGGTGGATAGCGATCTCCGACGACAGTGCGCCTCCGCCGTGCTCTTCTCGCACCATATCCAACGTAGCCGTAATCTTCATCATCGTCCTCTGCATCGTTGTCGTCCAATGCTACATGGCGCGCTCTCCCTTGCGATCGCGTTGTAGGACCACCTGTGAGACCAGAAAGAACACCGCGCAGACCGGCATGGTTAAGAAGCTGTAGGATTTGCTGTTGTGTCAAGCTTATGGTAGCTGTAGCTCTCTGTGTCTGCTGTGGCGTTCGACTGCCTTCGCCCCCCTCTTCCGTCGTGTCTTGTGCAGCTTCATCGTCGTCCTCCGTTGAGACTTCTAGCGTGACCTCCTCGCCATCGGCATCTCTTAGCACGCCTTCCTCCGCATCGAAGTAGACGGTTGTCTCGCCTCCCTCTCCGTCGTCTTCGCCTGGGTCTTCTACTGAGGGCGTCACTTCGTCGCTTGCGAGCTAGCGTATAAAATTAGCATTGTGAACGTCTCATCAGCATTGATCCCATCTGCGTAGCACAAATGCTCCCATGCGAGGCGCCTCGTTCGCTCGTTCTCGTTCGCCCGTGCTCATGTGGTCAGGCGTACCTCAAACCCCATGTCGTCATCGTCTTCCGTCTCCCATGTTGTCGAAGGTGTGTATGCTTCCTGTCCACTCATTGTGCCCGGTTCGATGATTGTTTTGAACTGGTATTAGAGCCTGAATTGACCAAGAGAAGTAGAAGGAGAGACTGCAGTAGTATGCTGCGTTGGTGGCAGTGGAAAGCTTACAGGTCATGAGCTCGGAGATACAGAGCCTTATCGCCATCGTGAACATTGCCGAGGCGTTGTACTAGTTAATCATTATTTGATTAATGACTTGAAGACATCCTGCTTCTCTCGTCGTCTTCCAACATCATCACTTCACGAGGCATCCTCTTTACTTTGCCGCCTCTCCTGCTTGGCGTATGCGCCATTAGGTTGACTCCGTTTATAAGTGGACAAACTCATGATATTCTATCAAGCGGAAGGCGGCGACAATGCAAGATACCAGGAGTGCCTTTGGACGACCGCTGCACGCTCCACGACCATGCTCCGTGGACATCTACCAGTATCTTTGTCAGCATCATACTCGAGTAGCAGTGTTTCCAGCTTCAAAAAGGGTTGAATAAGATCCCGAGTGATGAATGGTGCATTTCTCGCGGCTGTGCGGCATTTGGCTCTCGTTTTCAAATACTGCTGATCCTCAGCTACCAGCTCAGTTCTACCCCTCACGGCACGACTTCCAATTGCCTCTGCCTTGCTTCTCACCGAAGACATGAATATCACCATCTCACCTCAGCCTCATGCTGCACTGACTCCACTTCTCGCCTTGGGACAAGCATGTTCAAGAGAACAAGCCGAATCGTACGCCTTCCAAGGCCTTCGGTGTCTTTGAACCCACCTCATCGTGCTGTGGCAACATATGCAACACCCAATCCGCCGACAAGTACATCCACACGCTCCGAAATATGCAACAATATCCAAGTGGAACGCATAGCGGGAGGCTGTGGCGCCTTCATCCACGACATTGACCTCCGAGTCCTCACCAAGGACACAGCGAAGACAATCCGACAAGCCCTCCTCGACAACCAAGTAATCTTCTTCCGAAACCAACCCCTTTCCCCCCCAGAATTCCTCCACTTCACCTCCTTCTTCGGAAAACCAGTCGAATACCCCTTCGTCAAAGGCCTAGACGGCCATCCCGAAGTGATCCAAGTCCTCAAGAAAGAAACCGAAACAGGCGCCAACTTCGGCGGTGTCTGGCACAGCGACACAACTTACCTCCCGGAACCCCCGATGGCATCGATCCTGCTCGCCAAAGAAGTCCCCTCCGTTGGCGGCGACACATTATGGTCCAATCAATACCAAGCCTACGAATCGCTATCCTCGGGCCTGAAAAGAACCCTCGACCCTCTGCTCTGCGTTCAATCCTCGGCCAAAGCCGACGCATCGAAGACGCGAGAAGACCGGATCGCGGATTCTGGACGGGAGACGGAGCATATGGAAAAATTACATCCTGTCGTACGAACGCATCCTGAGACGGGACGGAGAGCTTTGTTCGTGAATGTCGCGCATACGACGAGATTCGAGGGTTGGACGGAAGATGAAAGTGCGGCTTTGTTACAGTTCTTGTTCAAACATCAGGTCAAACCGGAGTTCACGTGTAGATTGAGATGGGAAGCCGGAACGATTGCATTTTGGGATAACAGATGTACGCAACATTATCCTCTGAATGATTATCATGGGTATAGGAGAAGGATGCATAGAATTACTCTCGCTGGAGATAAACCCGTGTAGTAGTGTAGATAGTATCAATATCTGTTCGATATTTCCATTCCCTTCCACTCTACCCAACCGTCCCACCAACACCCGTATTCCCCTTATCCTCCGCACCCACACTCCCCTTCCTCTTGCCACTCAAACTCCCCCTCCTCTCCCTCTCGGCATAAGGATCAGCAAACTGATAAAGCGGATCAAAAACCTTGACATCCCTTCTCAAAACATGTCGATTAAAATACCACGGCAATTTCTCGGTATAATATTTCGCATGTTCGCGATTTCCCACACTAAACACATTATCCAATTCCTCGAGGGTCAGATTTTTGGTTTCGGGCAGGAGGAAGTAGCAGAAAATCCAGCCGAAGAGGTTCCAGGCTGCGTACCACCCGAAAGCGCCCGTTGGGGTGAAGGCTTGGACGAGGGCGGGCCAGGTTAGGGAGAGGATGAAGTTGAACCCCTGGGAGGAAGGATGTTAGTGGGAAGGGGAAATAAAAGAGGGGGGATTGGACGAACCCATGTTGTGGCTGTGGCGAAACTCATTCCGATGTCTCGAATGTACAAGGGGAAAGCTTCGGCGGAATATGTAAACGGCACGGGGCCTTCTCCTGGGGAATAGACGACCATGAAGAGGTAGATGCTTGCGGCGATGGATCCGAGTTTCGCGTCAGTGGGTTCGGGGCCTTCGGGTCCTATTGTGTCTGGGATGAGGAAGGAGAAACCGCACCAGAAGAGACAGATGGCCATGAGTGGGAAGGTGACGAGCAGGAGGTTTCGACGACCGAAGGTGTCGATTGTGTAGATTGCGGGGATTGCGAAGAGCCAGTTTGTGACGCCTGTGCCGAAGGAGACGAGGAGGGCGTTTGTTTCGTTGAAGCCTGCGTCGAGAAATATCTGCGTGCTGTAGTATGCGATGACGTTTACGCCGCAGAACTGGAAAGGAGGGATTAGAATCGAGGATGGTGGGAGGGTGGGAGGAGGTTTGATGACTTACCTGCTGCATGAACATGACGAAGAAGGAGGATTGCGCTGCACGACGGTTTCGCTTGACCGTGAAGAATTCTTTCCATAAGCTTTTGCCTTCTCTCTGGGCGGCTTCGACTTCGAGGAGTTTGGAGGCGTAGTACATGTCCCTCGCTGCTTGGATCTTATGGGATCGCAGGCGAGACATGGAGTGGAATGCTTTGTCGAATTTACCCTTCTCCATGTACCAGCGAGGAGATTCTGGACAGATGTAAACCATGAACATGACGATGAGTGGAGGAATGGAGGTCGAAGCCATCATCCATCGCCATTGTGTATCTTCACCCAAAAAGTCCAGGGGCTGGAAAGCGACACTGACGACGAAACCAAGCATGATGCCGAACGCTGTCCACATCTGCCACATCATTGTCAATGCGCCTCGAATGGTCTTTGGCGCGGACTCGGCCGCATAGACTGGTGTGGTGCTTGACTTGGCACCAACGGCAAAACCAAGAGCGAAGCGCGCGATGAGGAGATTGTACCATGAGTCGGCCGCTGCCATCCAGATGCCTGCAACGAAGGAGATGAAGCAGGATATCCAAATTGTTCCTCGACGTCCAAAGAACTTGTTGAGTGGAGCGTTTGTCCAGCAGCCGAGCAACGCCGAACACAGATATGGCGCGCCGTTGAGGAGTCCACGAAGCCAGACTTGCTCCTCGCCAATATTGAATGTGCGGAAGTAGAATTGCTGAGCACCGTTGACGGCTGTTTGGTCCATGCCTTGTACGATAGCTGAACCCGCGCAAAGCACGACTAAGAAGTAGAGCATAAACGGTTGGCGCCAGCGATGAGCGATCTCATCTCGTAGCCAGGACTTCTCCTCTTCCGACAGCTGATCGATCATTTCGAAGCCCGTGTCTCGCTGAATGACGCGAGCTAGAAGCGCGCCTTTGCGAAAGGCATCTCGGTCGTCCTGGAGGCCACGAGACTCAACGAAATCGTCTGCATCTCGAAGCACATCCTCCTCGCTCATGCCAAGGAGCGGGTTCTTGAGCAGAGCAGCCACACTGGCCTGTCGTGGTGGGCCATCGTCCGTTCTTTCGTGATGTTCCTTGCCTTCGTCGGAGGAGGACGCCGTCGAAGGTGACGGCCTCTTTTCGGGTTCAATGTGGCTCGCAGCCTCTTCATCCTTTCTAGGAGCTGCCATGATTAGGGATGGATCAGACAACGAGATTGAGCAAGGAACCGCGTCAGATGAAAACAAGAAGATGGAATACTTAACACCATACCTGTTCAACGTAAATAATGGAGCCGGTCCTTCGTGCCACCACACTCTCTTGTCGCCGAAGCAGCGCGTTGGCAAACGTAAGCCATGCCTGGAAGTCTCGCAGAGTCCGCGCCGCATCGGTCTGTTGACATTGGCGCGATGACGTGCGTTGTTCTCGGCTTTGCGCTTGGCGGAAAGAGGAACAGCAAGATCGACGCATTCTTTCCCGGAGGCCCACCAACGCCAATGTCTTGACAATGCACTCCACGTGCGGTCGCGTGGTTCCGTTGCGCCAGAAATGGTGTCGAAACGGATGATCTGTGGTCCTTCGAAATCCATCTTCTCCTTCTACAGTGGTGCCAAGCCCAGCACAAATTGCGGCTGAGGCGCTGCAAGATCCTTTGGAAGATGGCACACTTCTCGGATGGGTTGCGATGGGTTGCCGTGTTGGCGACAGAGAATTGTTCACGAGCATTGTCGCGAGCCGCCCCTCGAAAACATTCTAGGGCTGCCATGTTTTGGACATGTTCGCATCAGGAGCTGCTTGATGAGGCCTTGGCTGGAATGACACTCCGACAGCTGCCAAGTACAGTAAGAAACCCGGACGCCTGCGGGTTACCAGCACTGTATCCACACGATAGAGTCGGCCAAGATAGCGGTGTCTTCGCCGAATCCGATGACTGAATGCCTCGTTCCGTAGGCGCCTCATAATAAGATGCTGTGGTGGAAACAGTGATCAGCCTATCGCCTTTCGGAAGCTCAAGAGGTCAAAATCGTAGTCTCCTTCCTGCACCAACTGATATGTGAGTGATCTCTGGCTTCAAGTCTGATCGAGTGGCGTAGAGGCTTTCGACGTCAGATCTCACATTTGGCGCTCCTAGAGAAATCCTCCATTGCGCCGGCGCAGCTTCGACATCTCACTGCTGGCCCATGTTCGGATACCGTCCGCGAGAAATGATGCTGAAGAGACCAGCCGCCTCCGCAGGAGTCCGCACTGTCCTGAATTGCCAAGTCGATGCTTTCAGACCTTGTTCCGAGCCAGTCTGTGCTGCTGGAGCGCAAGGCTTGACATTCGGATACCCACGCTCTCAGCTGCGCAAAGGAGGTAAATGTCGTGGATCATTTGTAGCTGACCAGGCCTCTGGACTGCCTTGACGGTTGAGCCTGGAATCGTGGAGCGCCTGCCTATGTTCCATGCTCGAGCGTGAGCGGGTTTGATTGCAGGTGGATGCGGCGGGTTGAACACTTAGGGTCGGGGCCTTGTCCATCTTGCGCCGCATCTCGAGGACCACAATACGTGAAGCCGAACGAGCCGTATCGTCTTGAATTCGGTTGTGCTCCGGTCTCAGATTCAGACCCCCTCGCCTCGCTTCGGGAGCTAATTTGGATGCTTTGTAGGCTTGTCTAATAGAAGATAAGTGTAGTAAGAAATATATAGCTATATTATACTACTAACTACCATACTTACTGCCTTAGGTAATGAAGCTATAATAATATAAAAAGAAATTACTTAAATATTAATTTATAAATTTAATTTACTAAAACTAAAACAGCTTATCTAGTAGGTGTGCAGTATCTGCAGTCTCTACGAGAGCTAGCACATGGCTAGGGTACACACGAATAGAAGACAGTAGAAGTTAAGCGGACGTACTATATAGCCGTACGTAACGTATAGATTCTTAGTTTCTAGCATTATCTTTACTACTATATATCTTGTTCTACAATGGACTAATATAGTTATACGATAGCGGAAATTAATTAGTAAGATAAGCGCAATATTTTAGTAGTAGCGAGATATTATAAAGTAGACTAGTCGACGCTTAGTAGACGCGCGAATAGCGTCGCTAGAATAGCTGCCTAAAAATACGAAAACTAGATGATTTTATCCTATTAATAAGAACGCACGCTTGTCGAGTACTTTAATACCCTTTTAGAGCGTAGATTGCCTCCTATACTATCGATGCTTTGTAACTTCGTATGCGATATCGTAAAGAGACGGCCTAGTAAGGGTTAGGTGCCTGCCTTCTATAAAAGGTATAGAAACAAGATTCTCTCTCTCTATCTCTAACTACTAGATAAGGAGCGCAAGAAGGCAGATAGCAAGGCTTAATATTACTTATACTTCGAGTTAGTAGAGCGGAAGATTAAAGAGTATAATATACTACCTAAGAATATATATAATATAGATAAGAAGGGTATCCTTATTAGCTTCCTTATAAAGGCAAAGAGAGTAGTCTTAAAAGCCTGTTATATAAGGGACGATTAGTAGGTTAGCTATAGTATAGTATTAGGGTAAGTATCTACGGTTCTACGGAAAGTATATACCGGGCTTAGCTAGCGTACCGTCCCTGCCGTAATAGCACCCCCGTCCGATAGAACGAAGGCTAGCGTACTATATTAGCTAAACCCCTTCTTATATACTCCTTCCGCTTTTACTCGTTTTTCTTACCGCTCGTATTCGTATTATGCGTTCGTATTATATGTTCTTAGTATATCCTCCTCTCCTTAGTCTAAGTCTACTAGTTTAGCGCGCGTCTTCTTAGTAGCCGACTTTAGTATAGCCTTAGTGTCGGAGCTAGTTATAAAGTTTACGTATTAGCGTCGTCTCTTTTAGTTAGATATCTCGCTAGTACTAGTACTAGCTCGCTTGCGCTTTGTTCTGCTACTCTTGTCTTATGTCTTACGTACGCCGACGTACTAGACTTGCTTTAGCGTTTCGGGTATAGGTATCGAGGCGGGTGCCGAGGCTAGTAGGGATAAGGCGCGATCGAAGGGTTAGCGCGTCCTATTCTTATCCTTGCCTTTTAGTAGGGGGAAGGCTTTGCCTTTGCCCTTAGAGGCTAGGGCAAGGGTACTAGCGTCGGCGGCGCTATACCGCGACTTAGTCTTACGCTTCTCCGATAGTTGCGGCGTAGCTAGCGCTTCTTCGTTAGCAGCTACGGTACTAACGAGCGTCTTAGACTTAATAGCTATAGCGAGCTCGTCTAGTAGGTAGAGATATAGATCGGCGCGTTGCTCGTCGGTAAGCGACTAGTATCGTCCTATAATACTTATATACCCTAGTCCGTAGTATAACTTTACCGGATCTACGTCCTCCGTAGCGTAATCGTATTTAATATCTTTTAGTAGTAGGCCCTTCTTATTATAGGTAGCAACCTAATCGCGGTCTACGCTTAGTATACGGCCTAATTATAGCTAGAGATATACTATACGTAGGAAATAGTCGAGCGCGACATCCGTTAGTATACTATCTTCGTTAGTCGTATTATAGACCTATATATTCGTAAGGGCGTAGTCTAGGATTGCCTTAATATTAATCTCCTTTAGCTACTCTACTATAGCAGCCTTAAAGGTAAGGTAGGACAGGGAAATAATTTAGAGCTACTTCTTATATAGGTCGTAGTTTAGGTCCTTATAGTACTTCCGCTAGCGCGCCTGCTATTAGCGTAAAGAGGTAACTAGCTCGGTTTCGCCCTCGATGTCTAGCGGTATTATAGTCGTAATTATCGCCTAGTTACTTATATTATCGATATACGTCTAAGTAACTTAATCTAGGGCCTTATAGCGGAAGGTGCCGCTACCTATAAGTATAGTATAATAGGTAATAGCGGCAATCTTATATGTTCTGTTAGGATACTGCTTATAGTATAGGTATAGCGGGCCGATTAGCTTACGCTTAGAGCGTAGATATCCCTATGCCTCGACAGAGTACGTATACTACTTTCCGAGATCCTTTAAGCCGATAGTAGTGTCGTCGACCTTACGGTATATTATTCCTAATTTAAAGTCGGATAAGCGGGTACCTATTAGTAGTATATAATCTATTGTCCTAAATCCTAGCATATTATATATTAGTACTGCTATATTAGCTTAATACTACGACTCTAACTAGTCTTCTATACTAGTATACTATATACTAGAGTACTAGAAGTTCTTGTTCTTATCTATATTAACCGCTCTATAGCGTACCTTCTTCTTATCTATAATAGCTAGGCTGTCTTCCTAATCGTCGTCCTTGTCTATCTTACTCTTATTTATCTTAGCTACTCTAGCCGCTCTACGGCGCTGCTTCTCCTCCTTTACGTCTATTAGGGCGTCCTTCTTATCGTCGTCCTTCTCTTATCCCTTAGGCGTATCTATCGCGTCGTCGATAGTAGATATATCGCTAGCGTTATCGGTATAGTCCTCGGCTTATATAAGGTCCTAAACGTTAGCGTCCTTAGTATCGGCTTATATAGAGTCCTAATTGTCCTCGGTATCGTTAGTAGGCTTATCGTAGGTAGTAGGATCGGCGCTATTAGTAGGCTCGGCGTAATCGGTAGGCTCGTCCGATATCTCGTTTTTATAGTCGGCGGCTAGGGGGTTAGCGTCGTGCTCTACTACCGTATGCGTCTATAGTAGTATATAGAGTAATAGGGTCGGTCCTAAGACTAGCGGGCCTCTATAGTATCCCTAGACGCGGTCGAATATAGCTTAGAGCCTACTACGTAGGTCTGTACTAGGTACTAGAGTAGGGTAAAAGTCGCTAATAAATTCTTTAAAGTACTCGTTTATATAAGCAGTCTTATATACCGAGCTAAGGAATTAGTATTCGTATACTAGTTAGAGCGTAATTTGTCCTATATAGGCTAACTTGTCTATTATTATAATACGCTCGATAATATTATTATCCTCCTTTATAGCGACCTTAACGGCGTTTACCGTCGTTATATAGAAGAGGGCGGCGGTACGCTAGCGAGCGCCTAATGCCTTTATAGCGTCTTAAATATCTCTATTTATATCGACGCTGTCTAGGATCGGATATTACGGTCGCTTACCGTCGTTCTAATCGCCGTACTATAAGTCGTCGCTATTATTAGCGTTTTAGCGTACTAGAGAGTCGCTATCGTTATAAGCGTCGTCGCGTACTAGAGAGTCGTCGCTACCGTTAGAGTTCTCGCGTACTAGGGAGTTATAGTCGATAGAGGCTAGGGCATCGTTATACTCGGTCTCCTCGTCGTACGTTTATATAAGCGTTTCTGCCTTAGAGTCGTTCGCTACGACGTACTAACCTAGATTGCACTCGTTATTAAAGTAGGTAGTTTCTATTACGCGAATCTTCGCCCCTAACCTACTTTTTAAGGTTAGAATAAACGCGTCGCCTACTTCGCTAAGGCTTATACTAACGTTAGCTTCTAGTAACTCCTACGCGAACTTAGCGTCTAGTATAGTTTTTATATTTAGGAACGCGATAGAGACAGCCTCGGTTAGCTATACTACCGTTATAGGCTCTATTACGTAGGCTAAAATTGCCTCTATTACTACCTCCTAGAGCTCTTTATTGCGTTCTTATACCTCTATAGGGTCCTATATCTCGGTATCCTATTCTAGAGCCTTACTTCCTACTATAGTCGATAATATAGCGACTAGACCTGTCTCCTCCTTATAGTCGGTATCTTTAGGTATATCCTTCGGCGACTTATTAGTAGCGGCGTCCTCTGCGTTGCTAGCGTCCTTTAGTAGTCGTAGCTACTCGGTAGCCTTTTGCGGTTGTCGCTTGTTAATAGTCTTTAGCTAGTATAGGCGATCTCGTAATAGCTTAGTATCCGCCTCCGGAAGCTTGCCTACCGCCTTTTTATATATTACTTAGCTATATAAGGTAAGTACCTATTCGCCGTCTACTATAATTACTATACTGTTCTCGTCTTCTACCTACCTACCGAGCTCCTTATCGACGGAACGCGCTATTATCGTATATCTAAGGAGGGTCTAGACGTCCTTATAAATAGTATCGAGCGTTATCTTTTATAGGAAAACATTCGCGAGCACTACCTAGATTAGCGTCGGCTAGTACTTCTATAGGGAGTCCTTAAGGTAACGGCCCTTAGGTAGTAGTAGATTAGCTTCGGTATTCGCTATAACGTCCTACTTCTTAGTATCTTTTATTAGGATCGTCGCGCTAGACGTTATAGGCTATAGCTCGATAGTATCTTGCTTATCTTGCGCTGTGTTTATACCTAGCGCGTCTTGCTTGTTATTTGCTATAGTCTCGCTTAGCTCGGCGCCCTACTTATATCGTAGGGCCTTCTTATTTAGATTTAAGCCTTCGTCGCCCTAGTAGCTATATAGCGTATTATAATAATCCTTCTACTCTCTAATCGTCTTACGCTTCTATATAATAGTATCTTAGTCGTAGACGATTGTAAGCGTACGCTCGGGCTAGTACCGGTATTTAGTTTAAAAGTCTGCTATTAACGCGATCTATATAAAGTATTATAGTAGCGCGGTTATTTCGCTAGTAATAGGGTCTACTAGCTCTGCGGCTAGAATCTTTTCTTATGCCTTTACGTGCATCGCCGCCGTTTGCTAGTTACGTATCCGCTCGGCCGTAAGTATCTAGTTTAAGGGATACTAACCCGGTAGGTCGTCGCGATTTAGGTACTACTCTATATCGTCGCGGCCCGCGACCTAAGCGATCTAGTCGCAGACTACGACAAGGTTAATATTAGTGTTATCCTATCTAGGCATATCTTTAAGTACCTCGTATAGAGTGCTAATTGCGTTAGAATAGAAACCGTACTTTACTAGTACGCGGAATAGTAGCGCTGCCGCCTAGACGTAGTTTCTGCTATATAGCGCTCCTATCTCCTTATAATTAGTTATGCCGATATTAAGTCGTAATAGCGTTCGGATAGCGTAATAGATGTCGTAGTTCCGTACGCGTATAGAGATGTTATCTAGGTCGTAGAAAAGCTTCGTATACTAGGGGTTAGAGAGCGTAACAACCGCGCCTTCGTCGCTAGCGTCGAATATATCGGGCGCCTAATCGAGAAACTAGTAGAATTCTAGTACGCTAAAGAAACAGGCCTACTCGGAGCAGTCGTCCTTATCGTACCTACGAAGGCTCGCATTTTCCTAGAGTGTAATCTTAATACGTCGTAATAAGTTATAGTCTATTACGCTAGGCTCCGGGTCGAGTAGAGATAAGGCGAAGTCCGTAGCTTCTATATAGTCCTACGCGCGGATACGCGTAATAAAGGCGCGATAGGAGCCGTACTTATATAGGAAAAAATCCGCGATCGTAATTAGATAGATCTTAGTAGCGCGTCCGCGAAGAAGAACTCGTAGGATCGGCGTATTATAGATTCGCGTCTAGATCTTAGCGCTTATAAACTCGCCGACGTAGTCGCGTAGCGGCTAGTCTAGTTCGCGGTATACTAGTGCTAGCACCTACTCTACTAGGATACCGTAATTAAGTCTCTACGCTACTTCTATCGGCGTAGTAGCGTAGTCGTTATATAGCTCGAATTTAGGCTCTTAAGAGGCGAAGAATAGTAGGGACTTATAGTAGCGTTCCTTTAGCTAGGTCTAGCTAGAGTTAGACAGTTCGTCCTAGCGGTATATATATAAGGCGATAGGCGGCGGGCTATAGGTGTTATTCTAAGGGCAGTAGCGTACTATCGCGGTAATGTCGCTAGGCGTACTAGCGTTGCTCGATATAATAGGGTTGCCGACGGGGTAGCGGTATATTACTAGAGGGCGTACGTAGTCGTAGGTTCGCTAGAGTAGAGGGAGGTTAGTATATTAAGTTTGATATATACGTAGTAGCTAAAAATTTTTAGGGTATTGCTAGGGCGTTCCGCTTTATTATAACGTAAACTTTACCTTACCTACGCTACGCCGTTTATATATATAGTACGGCCCGTCGGATTAGAGTAATAATAGGGGAAAGACAATAAAGTAAACTATTTGCGTTTTAAAAATAAAGTAAAGTAAGGTGCGATTTAAAATAAGGTAAAGTAGGGTGCGATTTAATTATAGACAATAATGCTATAACGTAGTATGCCGCGATAGAGATGCCTATTATTGCGTATAGTGCTACTTAGTTAACCTTCTATATAGCCGTTCTTTAGGAGTTACGCAAGCTAGGCCTCCGAGAAGGCCGAGCCTATAGTTCTTCTACTATCGACTACGGCGCGCTTAGGGACGGCGCTATCGGTATCTGCTATTATAGCGCTTGCTAACGTGCCGCCTACTAACGTAACGCTTGCTATCGTAACGCTTGTTATAGGTAGAGGCGATCGTATTCCTAAACAAGTTCCGCTAAGTCGCGGAGGTCGTTAACGTCGTACTAAACGTTATACGCGTAACCGTAGCTACGCTACTTAACTAGATATTACGTCTTGCCCCTAGAGACTCTACGTCCGAGGAGCTTCTCGATCTCGTAATAGGGCGCCTTTAGGTATAGGTAGTCGTCGTCGAAAGGTGCTTTATCTACTAGCCTAGGCTTAGGTATCTCTCTATCGTATAGATTACGGCCCTCGGGGTAAGGTTCTAGCTACGAAACTGAGATTATAGGGTAGATACGCATTACTAGGAGGAGATCGAGTTCGTACGCGAGGTTGCCGACTAGGCGTACTACCTTAAAAGGACTAGTACGCTACGCGGAGAGCTTTCGGTTAGGGTTCCCTAGTAGGCGGTATCTCTTATATAGCTTAAGTAGTACCTTCTAGCCCGTCTTAAAGGAAATAGGGCGATACTTGCGGTCGTATCGGTCTTTTATTATTGCTATTACCTACGCGAGAGAGTCCGCGGCCTAATCGCGTACCTCCTATCTTAATACTAAGTAGTCCTTAGTAGGGAGCTCGGTAAGGGGGTTTAGCGCGTCTAAGTTAGTCTTAAATCCTTAAATCAGAATATTAGGTACCTCTCCCGTCGAGGCGTTTCTAGCGTTATTAAGCTCGGCCTAGATATACGGAAGTGCGTCCGTCTAATTAGCGTCTAGATAATTAGAGGTAAAGAATCGTAGTGCGATTTCTACGGTCTAATTAGTTCGCTTAGACTAGCCGTCCGACTAAGGGTAGTACGCCGTCGTTATAAAGAACCTCGTACCTAACTTCTTAAAGGCTGCTTTTATAAAGTTACTAAGCTAAATAGGGTCCCGGTCGCCGATTATAATAGCCGGAAGGTTGCGCTCTATTTCGATATGTCCTTAGATCTAATCGCTGCCGTGCTACTACGCCGTCTACGTTAATTTATACTTACGTAGTATAACGCGCTTAGAGTACTTATACGTCTTAGTAAGGAAACTATCGTAGCCGTCTTTATTAGGTAGCAGGCCGTAAACCTAGTTTATAGTAATAGCGTACTATAGAATAGGCTAGCATTTAATCGGTTGCAATTTACCGTATAGAGGATAGCGTAGCGTCTAGTTTAGGATATACTCGGAGCAATAAGCGATATACTTAGAGACCTCGCGTCCGAGCCGGTATATATAAAAGCTAGCGTATAGACGAGCGTAAGTGCGGTAATAACCTGCGTAGTAGTAATAATCGTAGGCTATTTAGAAGACCTCCTTATATAGGGAGCGGGGGATATATAGCCTCTCTCTGCCGTCGGTATCGTCCTTAAAATAGATAAGGTCGTCGCGTAAGAAAAAACAAAGTCCTAATAGGCTCGACTCGGCCTCGCCTATAATGTTAGCTTCCTTATAATTAGGGCTGTCGTTAGCGTCTAAGGTCCTCTTAGCGGCGGCTCGTAGGCGGCGTTCTTCTACGGCGTTTAGCTAAGCTAGGATTGCGGACTAATACAGGTCCTTAGTATATCCTGCTTTTAAGTCGTCCTTAAATTCGGTAGCGAGTTCTACGAGTACGGAGTAGAAAACTATAGGCTCGTTAGAGGTATACGTTCGGCCGGAGTACTCGTCGATTATAGTAGCGTAAAAGCAAATCGTACCCTCGCTTTCGTATAGGCATATATAGTACGCGTCGATTATATTATTCGTAGGCGCCGGATTGTTATATACTAGGGGATCTAGTATATCGTATATCTAATCTGCCGCTCGGTCGAGGTCCGCTACGAGCCTACTTAAGGCGTTCGGTATTCCGTAGAGGCGTCCTAGGCGGTAGTGTACCTTAAGCTTAGGGTACTAAGAGAGGTACTAACTAGCTCGCACTAGGCGGAGATTAAGCTTGTCCGTAGATATAGTCGTCGCGAGACTCGCTGCCGTAGTAATGCCTAGGGCCGCTATATAGTCGGAAAAAACATATACTAGCTTACGTACCGCTTATAGGATTATTCGTACTTTGCGAGCTGTCTAGACTAGTCCGCTAACCTTAAGCTCGGTAGCTAGGTACCGCTTTTCTACGTCTGTAAGGGCTTTGCTAAGGTATATAATAACTTGTACCTAATAAAGGACGGAAACTAATACTACTACTACTACTACTTATAGCAATAGTATAGGCTACCGAGGGTAATATAACCTATAGCAATATAGGTAGCTATATTTAGCAAGATAGGATAACGAGACTGTCGCTTAGGCTAATAACTAGAGCCCTGCAATATAGGCATTATAGAAGTGTGACATAAACAATGTGCTATACGAGGTTAATAATCTATCTATAATGCAGAAGGAGGCCTCTTATATAGGCTCAAAACTAGCCTATAGGTGTAGGGCCGGTTACTAGCTAATATCCCTCCCTTTCTTCGTATCTAACTAGACACGCTTTACATTACGCGCTTAAAACAAACATATATGTATCCTTAGCGTTCTTAGCTAAGGCTATTTTTAGAACTCCGTAATAATACCCCCGGGGTAGCATTAATCCTAGATACTATAATTATATAAAAACAACTTCCTAAGCAACACTATATAGACCTACTATTGCTTTAACGCGCCGTAATCCTTACTAGCAATAACCTTATCTACTAGTCGGTTCTCGAAATCTCCTCCGTATGCGTTAAAGCTATTAGCACCGAAGTACTGTCCCTCGTAGAAAGCTTAATTAACGAAGAGGTTAGTAGCCTTTTCCTTCGTAGCATTCTCCTAATCGTATAGATATTCCTTAAGTCCCTCGTTATTAAGCTAGAGGATCTGTTTAACTTCGTTCTAAACAACGTAACTTAACTAAGGAATCCTACTAACTAGGGCGTCGGAGATGCAACTAAGGCCTTCGACTAAGATAGCGGCAGGGAAGGGAAACGGTACGAAGGTATTCGAACCTAGAAGGGCAGTTAGATTACGGTACGCCTTAGCAACCTTAGCGACGGTTAAGTTGTTATAACCCTTAATCTTAGTGCCGTCGATAACGCGAGAGTAGCCTAGGTTAATTAATATACGGTTGCTCTTAGTCTTTAGATTACTATATAGTAGGTATAGCATCTAAATAGAGACTTCGTACTCCTTTAGAGGGTTAAGGATCTACTCTACCTTACGCCCCTTACTATTAGGCTAACTATCGAACATATAGTCGAGGTCGTCGTCGGTAAGGTACTTATTAGTAAGCTTGCCGATCTTGCTTAGCGGGACTAGGCTACGAGCCTTAAGCTTCTTAACCTAGTTCGTAAAGACCTCGGGCTAATGTATACCTTCGACAATAGTAGAGTAGCTAGTCTTATCCTTAGACATAAGGCAGACCTTAATACGCAGGTAACTAGCACCCTCGCTAGCTACGAGCTTAACTATATCTTGTCCGAGACGAGTAGACTCCTTAGAAGGACAGTTCTCGTAAGTACCGCTAACCTTAAAGAACTTAGTAGGCTTAGGGACGGAGATAAGCTCGTATACGTAATTAGGTCGAAGGGCGATAGCTAGGAGCTATAGGGCAGGGTGCTAGCGGACGATTTAGTTGCTTATACTATAAGTTTAAAGGGCATTGCGGCCTTCCTACTTAGACTTAGGTATATTACGTATATACTAAAGGTATATCTTAAACTCTTCCTATATTAGGTCGATAAGGAAAGGAAGATGTACTCTATAAGGCTCTTATAACTAACTAAAGACTTAAGGGAAGACGGCATTACTAGTCTAGCGAAAGCGATCGAAGGAGGTACCTTAGCTAAGAATGCCGGTAACGAACTTACTCTAGCGATCTGTTAGCGTAAGGGCGCGAGTAATAGTACTAGTAGGGTTAAACGCGTAGAGTCCTAGAGATGTCGGGGCGGTAATAGGGCGTCTAGGAAACTAGTTAGTATAGGCCTAATTAGCCTTAAGGGTAGCGAAGGCGTCTTAATTAGGAACCTCGCGACTAATCTTTAATAGGCGACCGACGAGGATAATCGCCTTAGCACTAGCATAGAGACTATAGACCTTAGCGGCCTTCTTAACATAGTTAGCATATATAGAGAACGGCTCTTCTCCTAGCTTGCTAAGGTCGTCGAGCTATTAATAGATAGATAGGGCAGTAGGAGCTTTACCTATATCGGCTTTAGGAACTATATCGATCTTAGTAATAAGGTGCGTAATAGAGTCGCTTTTATAAGAACTATAGATGTTCTTAGTTAATAGGATCGGCGAGAGCCCTCTATCTCTACGCTCGCTAAAGGAGCCTTCGGAGGAGACATCTTCTAGTAGTATATCTAGTATATTAACATCCGAGTTACTATAGTTAGTACTATAGTTAGTCCTAGAAGGGGCGCTATACTTCTTAGTAGCCTTGCGGAGGGCCTAGCGAGTATGCAATACCTTCTTGCGCGCTGCTTCGGCCTTAGCGCGCTCGTCCTTAACTTCCTAAGGGACCTTATAGTTGCAGGTCGAGCGACGGTCTTAAGCCTATATCTCCGTAGCGAGCGCGAGACTAGTAGCCGTATCGGCCTCTATCTCTAGGCGAAGAGCCTTACGTTTAAGGACATTAACGATAGGAGCCTCTTAACCTTTAATAATAAAACCTGTACTATTAATGCGATAGCCCTTCTCTTTTAGTAGATCCTTAGTTGTCTATATATTAAGATCGATCTAGACAATTATATCGTAGTACCGCTTCTAGTAGGATGTCGTAAAGTCGTTAAGCGTAAAGGACAAGTTAAGTAACTACTTGCCTACCTTCTTGCTAGCGGTAGATATACGATAGATTATAGTACGGGAAAGGTACTTAGCGCCTTAACGACGGACCTTGTACTTATTAACGAACGAAGAGACCTGCTTAGTACGCTCTTGTCTACCGTAGGCGAAGTTAATAAGGCTCTTAGGAAGACTGCTTAGTCCTCCCTAATATTCGAAGGCCTAGTCGAGGGTCTTAAAGCGCAAGCGAATCTAGGTGCCGGCCGTCTCGAGGCTATAGACGATAGGAAAGGCTTGTTCGATATCTATATCGTTAAGAACCTCGCGCTTAAAGATACGCTTACCGATAGACTAACGCAAGTTGTTTATACCGTACGCAACTAAGATAGTAGCCTTCTTAATGTTCCTATTAATAACGCGTAGCAGGGTACGAGCGTTCTAGATCTTCTCTTAAGGGTCTTTAAGAGCGGTAACGATCTAGAAGTAATGCTCGAGACTAGTTATAGCAGCTAAGGCGCTATCGGAGGGGGCTTCGATCGGGACTAGTACGCCTAGGTTTAGGGCTCGTAGGTTGCTACTACTGCTAGCACCTAGCGGATTTAGGGCGCCGGAAGACATCTTAGTCGACCGGAGTAGAAAGGAGTTAGTAACGAGCTTATAAAAACGTTCGTAGCTTGTTAATAATAATTAAAGGGTTTAGATAGAAGAGGGGGGGGGTAGGCGGTAGTAAGTTAGTTAGTACTCGAGTAGAAGAAAGAGCTTAGAAGGCTCGCCTTAAATAGGGTGCGAAGGTAGCGTAGTCCGTATATTCCGGTAAAGCAAACGGATAACGATTATATATAGACCCTAAAAAGTAAAGCTATATACGAGACTCCTTTATTAGTAGGGCAGCTAAAGTTTAACAATCGATCTAGCTAATTGCTAGTAGCGACTACGCGCCTTCGTTAACCTCTAGCTTTCGTAGATTCCCGCGTACTCGAAATGTAACTAGTTAGTTCGAGTACCTAGTAGCAATCTATAGTAGTAAGGCTAGCGGGACTAATAATACCCCTAGGATAGTATTAGCTTTTCTCTAGAGATGCTCGGCAACTAGGAGCAAATCGCCTAGGCCTAGCGTAGCTTGTATTAGCCTATAGTACTATCGTTGTAGATGTAGCATTACCTTTTATAGCAGCAGGTATATAAACGTAGCCCGTGCGTTCTTCTTTCTTCTAGATACTAAGCTTAGCGGCCTAAGGTCCCTATTCTTAGAGGCTATAGGCCTAGGTTGCTACGTCTATCTAAGAGCTAGGAAGGGAGAGGGATCCTCCCTTTCTTAGTGTCCTACGTAACTAATACTAATTAGGGTAGGAACAATCTTCTCTAGCGGAGTATCTTATTGTCGTTACTACCTAAGGGCGGTTGCTAGAGTCTAGGAATCTAGAGGGAAGTAGTCCTAGAAGGATAGAGGGGTTAGGTTCGGCTATCTTCCTAATACTACCCCCGGGATATTATTAGGAAAACACGCCTCGTATAGTTCTATCTAAGGAAACAAGAGCGAAGGAATAAAGTTATAGCAACATTAATCGAAGGTAAAGGCAAAAGCAAAAGACAATAATAGGATAAACTAAAAGTAACAAACGAGAGTATAAATATTAGTAGGAACAGATAATAGGTAAGGACTAAAGGTACAGGGCGGTACTATATTAATAGCGCGGAGAACGATCGACAAGAGTAAGGAAGCAACGTAGTAGAGGTAGGTAGAGGCACGGAAGAGTAAGCAATTATTTAGTCTCGGGATCTAGCTATAATTCTAAGCGGTCTTCGTCGCTAGACTAGTTAGGTTCCTCGGAGTTAGAGTTAGATAGCTAAAAGTCTAGTTTACTATTAGAATCGGAATTAATATCGGAAACGCTCTATATATAGTTAATCCGTATATAACCCTCCCTCTATTCTTAAGTTATTCTTAATAGCTTACTAAGACGAACCTAGGGATAGGTATAGTTCTTAGGTAGAATAGGATCTATAATAGCGGTAGGATCCTCCTCCCGATAGGTATCTAAGGACGGTAGAGGGTCTATAGAGGCACTAACTTCCTCCTCGGTCGGCGGAGGGTAGGCAGGTTCGCGTAACTTAACGATCTTCTTCAGATTGGCCCGAGGGTAAGAGTGCTTTAAGGTAGCACTATCTAGCTCCTAAAGAAGGTATACGGAACCCGAGTAAAGGACCTCCTTTACTCTATAAGGACCCTTCTACTTAAAGGCTAGCTTATAGGAGTAACTATACTCTAGTTCGGACCGGTATAGAAGGACTATATCGCTAACCTTTAAAGGTTCCTAATTAATAGCATTGTAGTTATTAAAATACTGCTTCGCCTCTTTCCGAAGCCGACGTTGTCGAGCAAGACCCTCTTAAGAAGTCGTAGTTATATCCTTAAGAGCCTTAGCCCGCAAGGTAAGAAGGTCTGCCCTAGTACGAATAGACCCCTAATCGTAAACGCCGTACGTGCGGTAGGATAATTTAATAGGAAGAACGGCGTCCCTCCTAATTATAAGTTCCGCTAGTATAAGTCTAGTCGTATCGACAATAGTAGTTCGGTCCGCCTAGAGAAGGGCTAGGACGCGGGTAGAAATAGGAACTAATCTGTCGCTACTATTAGTTATCTTAGACAGGGCATCAATTAACGACCGATAGCCGCGCTTAATAATAGTATTCGACTAGGGATAGTATAGGGAGATGCGAACGTTCTTAGCCCCGTACGAAACAAGTAGCGCT